AATGTGCTATGTTTATTTATTCTAACAGCTGTAAGTTTAATTATTTATAAGAACACCTTATCCAGACTCCTGTTCTATGCTGCTATTTGTTTAATGTAGTGAGCTTTCACTGCTCCCTCTCTGCTCTCTTAACACTTGCTGAGGAGTGGGGGGAGGCTCTTGTCTTGTACAGAATTGGTATGATCCTTCTATGTGCACTGCTTGCTTATTCATAGTCTTTTCATGACATTTATTCTTAGGAGGATAATGTCTTCTGAAGGAATGACAGGATGTTCTTTAACCCTTAAAATAAAAATGACAGGCAACATTTCTCTCAGTATTTCAGGATAAGAGAATAATGATTCTTGGAGAGAGAGCTGATTGCTTGGGTTAACCTGGAGCTGTCTCCTGTATGCTAGTTATTTTTTCCTGCCACATTTTATGTGATACAAAGTGAGAAGTACAGAGGAGATGTGCTTTCCTGCAAGTTGCTTTAAGCTGAGGGACCTCCTGCTAGGAGGCACTGGCTGCAGTGCAGTTCTTTACCCACTTCCCAAATCTGGGACTCTGCCTTGCTGACATGGCTGATTGAGCAGAGCATCTGGATCAGGGACACTGGTGGCAATGTGAGAAAGGATCTGAGCCAGGGGCTAAACAGGTGAGTGCTGTCTGATGTGTGAGAGCTGACCAAGTGAAAAGTAAGTTTTGTGATTGCTGATCATCCTTTAAGTCTGAAAGCTTATCGTTTTTCTAAAAACCTCAACTCATAGATTATACTAATATAAATAAGAATTTGATTTTTCATTTAAATGCAGCCACAAAACACTTCAAGCTCTTGTGTATGGAAAGAAAACTTTGAAAATGTAAAAAAACTCAGAACTGAGAAGATAAAGCAGGAGTTCAAATCTCAGGAATATAAGTCACTTGCCCAATAAGTTTTGAATGCTCATCTCATGTTTAGCAATTGTTTTCAAAACCTGTGCAAGACATCAAAGCTGTCAATAATAACAAGACAACAACCAAAAGGAAATTACTTTTCTACACACACACTTTAGACCACAAAAAATAACCACTGCGTGCAACTCTTAGCTGAGATACCAGTGATTTAAGAGCGTGTGTCCTTGCTCAGAACTATTAATGTACTGTTTGTACCCCCTGCCAATGTACTCGAATGTTTAGAGCATATGAGATAATCCAGAGACTGCTGTGCAGAAGTAGTTGCCACTTATCTGCATTCCTCCTAAATAGGCTTCTAAATGCACAGCTCTTTTCCACACCAAGTAGGGAAGGAGCTGCAGCCCTGGAAGAAATGTACTGGGGGTGAAAAGGAGGAAGGAAGCATTAAATGTCCATCTAGAGAGATGATTGAACTGACAAGGAGTTGGTGGATGTTATGTATGGACACTGGCATGTTCAGGGCTACAGTTGCTGGTTTGTGCCCTGAGGAATTCATTACCTTTCATTGTGTTTTGAATGTCTGCAGCTTTGAAGCCTGTGTTGTATGTCTGTCACATTTGGCAAGAATTCCAGTCTGGCAAGGAGACAATGGCAGCTGGTTAGAGCAGGGAGCTGGAAGGAGACATTTGAGGGGTTTTGAGTCGTTGTTGTTGTTATGTTTTGTTTTGTTTTGCCTGATCTGGCCATACTAGTTTCTCTGTTTTTAATGTGGTCACGTGGGATCTCATTTTTGGTTCCCTTTGAAAGGGTCCCTTCTGAAGTGCTGCTGTGCATACTTGCCTGTGTGTCTACAGGAATGGCTTGGCCATGTCTACAGGAAGGTCTCGAGGGGAAGTGGGAGCAGCAAGTGTTTCCAGACCCATCTGCTCCCACAGCTGACAGCCTGTCTGACCAACCTGGCAGGGACTGCTCTGTCTAAGGATGTACCATCAAGACATAGCACACTGACCTACAGCATATACCTTTCCAAGTGTTACAGAAGGCAACACTTTGCTGTACCGGGACCATGGAGCCAGATGTGCTATCTGGCTGGACCATGTATCTGGGGTCCCAAGAGCAGCCTTAGGGCTAAGATAGGCCTGATAGGACTTCGGTATGAGGTTTGTGTTAAGCATGTGGGAAACGGGTAGAATAACTCTGTAGCCCTGATACAGAAAGGCACTGAAGCGTGTTCACAACTCCAAACGTGCACCATAATTTCCTCAACCTAAACGCAGTTATTTCTACTTGCATGCAGCAAATCTGTATGTAGATCCTCAGCTGATCAAAATCAACTTCTAAATGGAGTTTCTGGAGTTACACCAACCCAGGTGCTCAGGATTGGTTATGCTCACCGTGAGCACGCTGAATCCATTCTGTGTATATGAACCTGCATTAAGTATGTGTTTGAGTGCCTGAATAATGCTGATTAGTTTCACAGTAAGTGAACACTGAATGCTTGTTATTTTAATTGAATTCTATAATTGCTAGTAAGTGTGAGGATATGTGGAAAAGTCATTTTTCTAGATCTAGCTCTAATGAGTTTGTACACCTCCTTCATTTAATTTTAGCAAACTTAGATTTTTAATTATCACTTTATTTTCAACCTCAAATCACTTCTTGCGAAAAGTAATTTGTTCTTTTAAGACCAAATAATTGTGCTTTTTTTGGTGTGAATTTTCCTTAATGCTTTTCTTAATGCAATGAAGGCTAGTGCTTCACACTGTAAGCAATGTCAGGACTCTTGAATTAAAAAGACATCACTGAAATCAGAGTTTTATGGCAGTTGTGTCATTGTTTCTAAACAGACAGTTTAAAAAGCATAAAGCATGGGGTCACAAGTTTAACTGCTCAGATACTGCCACTGTGGAAGTGGACCTGTGTTGCTCTGGGACTGCAGCAGCAGTGCACCCTGCCTTTGCCCACGCACATGAGCTAGTATTTTCTCTTTACTCTCCTGAAAAGGTAATACACTAGATTTTTTTTTTTCCCCCCTACCTTTTTTATCTTGTATACCATGGGAAAGCATGCAACCTTTTGGGGATTCTTGGACTGGAAGAAACTTGCTGTTGATTTGCATGCAGCCCGTGGAGAGGGCCAGTGCTAAGTCAAAACTTCTGGGTACCAGCAACTGCCTCAGCTTCAGAATGGCTTTAATCATAAATCTGAGTTGAGACTTACTGAAGTATTGCCCCTTCTTGTAGTTTTCTCCCTGCCCTATGGAGGGATTTGTATTTATCCAGTGATCTTAACTCATAGCAGTTTTCCATGCGTAGAAGAGATTGATATTGCTACAAACATCCTTACCCTGGATAGCCTATGATTTTAGCCTGTTTCTTTCTGCTTTACTTTGAACTAAGGCATCTTTCCGTAACTGAAATGTACAGAGATCAGAAAGACCATTATTATTAAGTATATTTGTCTAAATTTTCAGGCTGTGCTAGCCATAACTATTTCAGGATACTTGTGAATACGAAATGGTATAAACAAAAAGCAGATACTGTACAGTCAGGCAAAGTCGGGCAGCAGACCTCTAAGCTGGGCTCAGCTTTTGTTGTTGGCTGGTTTTAGACTGCACTAATCCACTCCATGCTGTGTTTTACTGGGATCAACTTGGAGTTAGACTGCATCCTGCTGAGCCTTCACCAACCCACAATGTATATCTTATGTGGATATTTTAATGAAGAAAATATTTAAATAATTAAGTGTTGGCAGCTGTTTCTAGGGTGGCGTGCTGGAGAGCTCAGATATTGGCTGGTTTTACAGACTGATCTGTTACTATATTTGCTTGTTGAATTTTCTTTTCTTTCCTTTTGAGTATCTGGTGAATATGCTTATTATATTCTGGCTGGTATGAAACAAATGCTAGTTAAGAATGGGGATGCTTGAGGCAAGAGAGCAAATTCAATTCTCAGAAAGCAATTTCCACCTCTTACAGTGTTCCACTACTGCCTCCAGTTCATGTCACAGGAAAACAAGTATCTCCAACTCTATTCTTTAGTTTCCTGTTTCTCTGAGCAATTTTTTCCTGTACTTCACAGATTAGGGTCTTTGTTTATGCATGATTTTGTAGCTTCGGATACCTATTTCTATTCATGTAATGGATGCCATTAATTGGCTGGAGTTACGCTTGATCTCTCTCTTTAGCACAAACTTTTGCAGGATGGAAAAAAGACTGGAACACAAAATTAAAGGGTTTGTAATTCAACCTAGTCCTTTAGAGAGTTGAGAGATCTTGGCAAACACAGACTTGTTTTGTAGAAATGTTGCTCTTTGACTATTCAAATCAACATCTCTGGTGTGACATTGAAGTCTGTTCGTTTGCTGCAGGTATCATGTCCCCACAGGAGTGGGCACTGGGTATGAATAGGCCCCACAGTTGCCTTCTGTAGACTGTCATGACTATGAAAATTGATGTTTTCTCCTCTGGTCCCCATTTGGTAGTCTTTCTCTTGGGTCAGTAATTTCACTGCCTTTGGTCCCAGGAGGATTAAAGCTTCTAATTTTAAAGTTTCGCTTACTGGGTCTGATCCTGAAAATATCAGCTACACTTCAGGACAGAAAATGATTGGTGCAGAAGTTAATATGTATTTTGACAAGTATATCTCTTCTGTATTGTAATATCTTTCAAAGTAGATACCGACTTTGATCTGAGCGATAGATCGCCTTAAAATCTGACAGTGGGTCTAAGTTGAGAGTTTTAGCTTAAAGCTTTTAGTCTCACTGAGATTTTAAAAATCTTTTTCTTAAAGGTGACGCACATTTTATATTATTAGAAGCTGGCCAGATTTACACTTCTCCATACATAGACTCTTAGACTTTAATTGGTAACTTATGATTAAATTTTGAGGATTAGTCTGAAAGTAGTACTGATATTGGGTGGAAATACTCTTTAATTTATGATAATTATCAGCAAAAAGCATAACTGGTGGTTGACATAAATCCATTTGGATTTTGAAACTAAACTTTTTGAAGAAACTGTGACTATTACCTTGACTTCTGTGATGAATGTTTAGCATCACGTCCAGTGCTGTCTGGGCAGACATGAAGCATAATGTAACCATTCTGCCTTTTGCTTTAAACAGACATAAACAAAATCCAGAAGTGAAAAAGGCAAGTCCTTCCGCCACAATGAGTTCTGGTAAGTCTGTGTTGTTTTCCACTTGCCCTCACTGGCATCCTTTTTTATTACTAGAAATATGTTTCTGGTGCAATTACTCTTTCTTTTTTTGACTCTTCTTCTGCATCCCAGAAAAGAGTCAAAGCCCTTGAAAGCTCAAGGAATCTGACTATTAAGGCAACAGCAGAATGGCTTTGTAATAGAAAGTGTCCTGGCTTCATGTTTGTTGTTTCAATTTGTCCTATAATGCTTAAAATATGACTTAGAACCATCTTGAGTAGGTCATATTAGCTTCTTTCACTCTGGAATATAAGAATTCAAAATTATTGCTTACCTGAAAAAATTTGATATGTTTTAGTTGGGGTGAATGCAAAGTTTGACATCTGGATAGGAAAAAACAGCTGTTCAGGGAAAAATGAGGGACCAGGAAATGGGGGCTGCTTGGGAAGAGGAAAACGTCTGGTCTTGCCTGAGTAACAGGCTGAATCAGGGCAAAAAACAAAGCAGATGCCATACTGAAGTGCCATATGTAGGATATGTGGAATAATATTCCCACTTGATTTTAGCACCTTATCGAGTCTCAGCTGAAATATGGTGTCCAGTTTTTAGCAGCACATTTTGAGAAAAATGTGAACCATTTGGAGGGAGTCCAGAGGAAAGCTAGGAGACTAATCAGAGTCTGAAAAACCTGAGCTGGAAATTTGGCTTAAGCATTGATAAGCTTCCAGGTTGTGAAGCATGGGAACAGATTGCTTTAGTGTGATGCTGGAAGTTTGTAAGAACTCATTGGGGTAAACATTTGTGAGCAATGTCAGAGGTAGATTTGTTTCTGCCATGGGTCAGGAATATGACTTTAAATGACCCTTGGAGGTAATTTCTAGCACTATCTTCTGTGTTTCTCTAAATTCACAAGAGCCAGTTTTATTTGTGTCAGCTGAGAACGTTGCAGACTTGGAAAAATCTCTCTTGAAAAATCTCATGACTGAGCTGGATGCCATATGCACATATAGAGATGGTCCCTGTTTAAAGAGGCTGTGATCCAGGTAGGCAAAGGAGAAACAGAGGTGTCATCCAAGAGAGGTTTGTGTCTCTAAGCAACATCTCCTGAGATAATAGGAATACTTACTAGTTCATGAATTAAATAGTGCTGACCCACGGCATCCCCTTATAGTCAGATGTTTTAACCCAGAAGTAATCTGCTTCTTCATTTGTCTTACAGAACACAAAGAAATTGATGTTGAAAAAGCTGTTGTCAATGGGCTGAGCGGCAATGGACAAGAAAAAGGTGGGTTAAGAGCTTCAGAGGCATCTCTGCAGCTCCCCCTGCATGTCAGCTGTGTGATGTGGTTCACTACAGCAGGGGTTTCCAAATTTAGTTTGCTTGGCGACTGATACAAGAAAAGCCTTGTGCTGCACCATGCCAGCAGCAGCATTTCTTAGCTCAACAGTGTTCTTTGTCTCTTAAATGTGGCAGGCTGGATTTGCCTCTTTGTATATTTTTAGTGCTGTTTTGAGGGAAGCTGTGCATTACTTGTGGTACTTTTGAACACCTGTGAATCAATACCTTAGTGTCTTTAGACAGCATGGGTCTGTGAGTGCTTATGTGTGAATCCTGTTGACTTCAGTGGGAGGTGAAGGTTTGAGCCCGGGTTTAAAGGGTAGGAACTAACCATTTAAGTAATAAAAAAATTCTGTCATTAGCAACTCTGATTTAAAACCCATACTTACCTAAACAAACCAGTCTTCATGTTAACATCAGCAGGTTTGCAGTGCGCTTTATAGCATTCAGTTTTGTATAGTGATGGTATGTGTTTTGGCAGGGTGGAAGTATGTGGCTGTACGGGTTGGTTTTCTGCTGGTTTCATTTCCTTTCTTTTCTTCTGATGCGTTTTTATAGTGATTAGTATTTTGACTGCATTGTGGATGGATGAATTTAGTCAGAGAGCAGAACAGAATTAGGGTTGTTTGGGATCTATTGTATTCACAGGGTTGCCAGTACCTGGGGAGAAGCATGGAGAACAGGGTTTGATTTAGGTTCATCTTTTATAAAAAAAGAATTTAAAACAATCCCATCAAATTGAAAACTAATTGTTTTATGAGATTTGAAAAAATTCTATCAAGCTCTTCTCCCATTCTCTTGCATGAGAGCCCTTTTCTACCTTGAAGTCTGTGCTTTCCAGTTTTGCCAGAGACCAGAAAGATCTGCCACAAGAGGGGGTGTACACACCACCCTCATGTCAATGCCTCCCTCAAGGTGGACCAGTGCTCAGTGTTGGTGTGTAAAGTATTAGAAATGAGGTTCTTCTTGCTCCTGATTTTGCAGGCCTGAGAGAGGTGGCATGGAATGTGAGAAGGCATATCTAGCATTTTCCAGTTAGTACATGCAGAAAGCTAATAGATTTTAAAGGAGAAAATCCTGCCTCTGCAGAAATCAAGAGCACAACTCAAGTTATTCTACTGGATCCATGATTTACAGGATTTTTATCTTGGCAGATCCTGTTGAGCTTCACCTCTGAGTAGTTTTGCCTTTGTCTTTTTTTACCACCACCACCTTCTCTCCTTTTTTTTTTTTTTTTTTTTTTTTCCTTGAGTTCCACAGGTTGAATGGGATTTGGAGCAACCTGATCTAGTGGAAACTGTCCCTGTCCATGACAGGGAGGTTGGAACTAGATGACATTTAAGGTCCCTTACAACCCAAACCATTCTAGGATTCTATGGTTAGCTGCAATACAGAGTCAGACAGAGGAAGTACCAGCTGGTTTGGACAGTTTTGTAACAATTGTTAGAATTTTGCACAGTGATATGTATGGTTTTCCCCTATGTTACTACATAATTAGTATACTAGCTGATGAACTCCAGTAGAAATCTCTTCAATTTCCCATTTAAATGGATGGATTTTTTCTGAAATGTGTATTTTGATGCTACCTTTTGGCATGGGACTGTTTTCAAGATTATTTCATGTTTCACTTCCTTCTGTTGCTGAACTTGTAAAATATGTGCCATAAAATTCAGAATTCATTTAATGTGGCTAGTTTAATGTTCCTCTCTCAACCTTACAATCCTTGTGTTTTCATTTTATTTTAACTGAGCCATATTAATGTTAACTTAACATTTTTGTTTTTACATGTAGTGTATCTCGGCTAAATGATTATACTAGAATTTTTTTATGGCTTCCAAAAACTAATGCTTCCAGATTCTTTTTGCCTGCAGCATAGTGGCAGTCAGCAGTTAGTCAATTCAGTAAGCAGTTCTGTATGCTGCATAAAACAGACACATCCTGAATTAGGGCGAATGAAGGGATATTTTTAACGGTTGCATCACTGCTCTCTGGACTGCTTTTGTATTTGAAATTTCCTGCTATTGTGTCTCCAAGTACATTAGAAAATTTTGTGGCATGCTTCCCAAACTCTGTTTTTCCCTCCTTGGATGTGCCATTTACACTTTTGTGTTTGCAGCTGTTGACGTCCCTTTATGTACACGCTCTATTTCTGCCGTTAAAATAATCCCTGTGAAGAAAGTGAAAAGTTCTCCTCACCTAGTGCTGCCTAAAGGTATCTTCTTCCTTCCTCCCCCTGCCATGCATTAGTTGGCCATCATTTTCTCTCTTCTCTCTCTCTCTCTCTCTCTCTCTCTCTTTCTCTCTCTCTCTCCTTCCACTTCACCCACACGCTTTGACTAGTTTTCAGCTTCATCCTCTTCTCACTGTTTCCAGAGTTGTAGATTTCATCAGTAGGTAATAAAGTTAGCTCTTGACGGCACAATACACTGTTCTCAATTATGCTGCTCCTTTGCAGACATAATTGTGTCTACTTGAATCTGGGATCATTGTAAGCTCTGCTACTAATGCTTGATTATGAATAATATTGTTATTACAGCCTCATTTTGAACCAAACTCCTGATGAACCAAAGAATGTTTCCTGCATATCGTTAATCTTTATGAACGTAAATGGATGTTAGAGATGAAATTTTACAGGTTCAAGCATAGTTCAACATTGGTGGGATAATTTTGTTTTTCTGTACATACACTGACTTTACAGAATCTTTATATGGATAAATAAGGATGTTAGGCTATCTGTCACCCCCTCTCTAAGCACATGTTTTCTCATTAAAAGTACAAGATTGTTTTTGTACTTTGCTGGATTTGGACAGTCAGACTAGTCTAGCTGTTACTGCTTGTCATTTCTAATCTGTCACATGTGTTCTGTTGGACTGGTACAGCGCTAATATGTTTATTAGCATCTGCTGGTTTTCTATACTGAGAGATTCAGATTTTTGTTTTCCATCATTTCACCTAAATTGTGAGGGAATTCAACAACTTAAGTGTTTGTATTCCTTTCCCAAATTCAAATAGTCTGACAATATTTTATTTTCAAACCTTTTCAAAACATTTTACTTTTTTGAGTTCAAACATTTTTTTTTCCTGATTCTTATTTTTTTGCTATACAGGTTTAATATGTTGTATGAAAAAAAAAAAAAAAAGTGCTTTGATTCCCAAATTGATTCTCCTCCAGTGTAATGGAGATATTTATGGCATGTCAAACTCTAAGCTTATCCATTTCTCATCAGTGTCTGTGAAGGCAATCTAGGTGCAGGAGCATAGGAAAACAACTTACTCTGCTCTCTTTGTGATGCCTGAATCAGGCCTGGTGACTCCCAACATTATGTCTGTGCCTCAGAGTTACAGCACTCTTGAAACTGGAGTCCCAGAGTTTAGACCTTTGTCCTCTGGTTTGAAAGTGGGTCCATGGAATCCTCAGGCTGTATGTTCTGCTGTTTGGATGGGAACAATAGCTAGAACTGGACTCCTGAGCTAAAGGAATCCTGACCCTATCTGGATTATGCAAAAATCAGTCAGAGAAGTCAACTTCTATTTCACTCAGGCATGTGGGTGACCTTAAGGCATGATCAGTTGAGTGTTGAGTGCAAATGTGGTTTATTTAAGGATTAAGCAGCATTTGATATGTCTGTGTGGATAGTCTTTCCCCTTTGAGGCTGCCTTAACGCTGCCTAAATTAACTTAAAGGGTATGAACTGTAGGAAAGTATCCTCTGATTCCCTACTTCATCCTTTCTCCAGTCCTAAGTGTGGATATGAAGCTATATTTTTTGTGAAATCCCTAAAGCATTGGAAGCCCGTGTAAAAGCTTGAACTGCAGTGATTCCAGCGTAGAGGTCTTTCAATGTGAGCCAGATGTTTGACATTCATTGAGCCTTTCCCCTTACTGCTGTTGTCCATCTGGCACTATTGGTGTTTCCCTGTATTGTGGCCACCTTGGCTGTGGTGTGTGTTTTGCCACCTTAGATGAGGCGTTGTCGTGGTCCATAGGCACAGTACTGGTGTGGACTTAATGGGGCATTATCTTACTGAAATCAGCCAGGGATCTGCACAAACACGGACTATTGTCTAGGCAATAAGCAGCAGTCTTTGCCCCTTTGTCCAGTCTGAAGGCGTAACTTTCATTATAATAACAGTTCATAGAGAAGAGTTGCATCCTTCCCCATGCAGCGATGGCACAGTTCTCACCCCATAAAGATCATCGTGTTGTCATTTCTGTAACACAGGACATGCTCACTACCTCTTCAGGCTCCCTGTGTGGTGTCGTGGTAGGACTCGCACTTCTGTTTAGGTAGGTCAAAGTGAAGTCTGATGGCAGCTGCTGCGGGATCAGTAACAGTGCATGAGAAAGGGAGGTGATGTGTTTTCCTGTGGAAGTAGCTTAGATAAGTGAGAGACTCTTTAAGATACCTATAGAAACAATAAGTCTAAAGGAAACAACTCTCCAGAAGGATTTTAAGTAAGGGGAGAAAGATAGCCTTGAAGTACTGGTTTGTTATTACTTAATAGGATGATAGGAGGAAAAACCCCAAATCCATGGACTCAAATGCACAAAGGTAAGCCTGCACAGAGTCTGTGCTGAATCAGGCCTCAGCAAGGATGATGGCATGATCTGGTGTCTGGTTCACAGAGTGATCTGAACAGGTATGTGTTAAATCTCCTTCTAGTTTTTGGGATTTGGATTCCTATGTCAGAAGGTGAAACACTGCCATGAAACAGGGAGAAATGTCAAGGAGGTGGCTTGCAGTGCCCTGAATTTAGATCATATTCAGCATAGATACAAGATTTTTATCCTCCAGTTGTCATAATTTTTTTTTTCTTCCCTCTTTCAGTCCTGCACAAAAAGCATTTTTAAGGCTTCAGCATACAAACCATATTTCTTTATACCCTGGGACATCTCTATAGAAGAGCCACAGGGGTAATGGTAGAATGTCGTTGCTAGTGTATCTCCACAGAGAGCAGACCATATAAAGCAAATGGACCTGTGACATTTGGTTCAAACACTCATCCTTTTTTCCTCATTTCTTAGCTCTGTTACACTGACTCAGAACTTCTACATTCATCAGTTACATGAATATGAAACTGCTTTGATTTCTCAATGCTTTAAATATAGAGCTAATCTTCATCTGCATAAACATTACTAGATTGATTCACCCAAAGGCAGCCATGTTAAAATTACTTTGTAGAGTTCTGATGGCTCCTAATGGCTTTGATCATCTGTTTCGATGTCTCCTCTGTGCATGTACGTTTCTTGTAGAAACAGATCCCACTAAAGTCTGCAGTGGAAAAGGAGCTGTGACCCTCCGGGCATCTCCAGCCTATGAAGAGAGTCAGAAGATCACTTCACCATGTCCTCAGGATGTTGAGCCACCTGAAAGTAAGTGGATGGAATGTTAACTGGAATATGTTACTCTCAAAAACCTCAAGAGAGGTCAGTCCAAGGTCTTGGGGTGACTTTTTTTTAGCTACAATTCAAAGCCCAAAATCCTGTAGTATAGTCAGCAACCTCTTGCAACAACCAGACCAGTGGAGGGAGACTGAGTCCTGTTCTCCCCTAGTGCAGGTTTTATGACCACTCACTCATTGGCTTAAGTTTGTTTACGGCCTCCTTTTGCTGTCAGAAGCACCAAAAACTCTCAATTTTTTTTTTTTTTTTTTTTTTTTCCCTGGCAGGCCCATATCACCTCCTTTTATCCCAGGCACGAGGTGGAACAGAAAGAGACTGAGCAGTGCTACTGCCACCATAGCATTCAGTTGGGTTGTCAAGGGAGTGGGAATAGCGGCCCAGACAGACAGTGTCGCCACAGAGCTCTGCCATCTTTCAATAGCAGATGTGTAATTACTTAATTGTAGGAGACAGGCAAAGCATAACGAACCTGGCCAGTGTCGTGGGTCTGGCAGAGAGGATGAACTCCCAAAGGCAAGATGCTGTTAAGGGGGGAGGGGGTCAAACTTGCTCTTGAAAGCAAAGCATACATCATTTCTGACTGTATTGTTGGAGGAAGGGCAATCAATTCCAGCCCCAACGTGCTGGTTTCTGCTCTGTCTTCTCCTCCCATTCTGCTCTGCCTGTGACCTACCTTCTTTTCACGCTTGCCATTCTCTGTTTCTTCACTCCTACCCCCCACCGTTGCCTCTCTCCTTTCTGTTGATGGCTTCATAAATTTCAAGGAGCTTGAATGGCAATGAGTCCATTACTATGGAAATCAGCTCATTAATACTGCCTTTGCTTACTCTCTCAATTGCTTTATGAAATGTACTTTGGAGCTGGAAGATCTTTTCGTGTATAACTTAAACAGCAAAATGAGTAGAGGGGTGAGGAGGAGCCCAGTGGGAGGTGGGTAAATAGGTGATGAGACTAATGCATCTAGCTGCAGGGACTGGGTTGTAAAGTGACATCATATTTTATAACTCCCTTCATGCCCACACAGTCTGCAAAACCTGATCTATTTGTTGGCAGTCCTTTGTCTCAGTTAATCATACCTCGTGATGCTGATAAGGATATATACGTCTTCCTAGCCTGTATTATGGCTGAATACAGTGTCCCTGCATTTCCAGTAATTTGTGGTGTCTGGAAATCAAGCTGCAGCTCTAGAAAGAAGCTAGCTAGGCTGCCTTTTTTGCCTCTGAAATAAGAATGTCAATGAACAATTGTTTCTTCATTGCTCTGAATGAATTGCCTTGTGTTTACAAAGGTCAGAAACAAGGAGGGCATCATGTTTAGGGCTGGTCTCTATGGTAATTAGGCAGCCCTGTCAGAAAGCATTTTATGTGTGAAATGAAGTAGCTCGACTCTTAACTTCTATTGGTACATGTTTTCTGTAACTGTAACGGTTTATTTTTTCCCTTTCTTTCCCTCTATGCCTATCCTCCACCCCCACCTCTTCCATCCCTCTTTTCTGTGAAACACTTAGGTCTGGAGCCAGAAACACCAGAAACAGGTACAAACATTGGCTGCTTATGTTGTTGCTTCTGTTGCTTTCTTGGAAGTATTTCTTGGTGCCTGGAAAAAAAAAGAAAGAAGAAAAAGAAAAAAAAAAGAAAAGTTCCCTCCTTTCACTCATCTTGTAGCTGGAGGGAATCTTCTGTGATCTGAGTTTTCCTTCCCTTTGTAGATGATTGGAGGTCGTTATCTAACACTGATGCCAACGGGGATGCCCAACCATCTTCTCTGGCTGCCAAGGGTTATAGAAGTGTGCGTCCGAACCTTTCCTCAGACAGCAAGCCCCAGGTAAGCCTTTCTTATGTGATCCTGAGGGTGATCTTCTGGGTTCAAGCACTGGATTCATGGTCAGGAGTCCTGGGTTGAACTCCAAACCTTGCTGCAGACTTGGGTAAGTAGCTGTGCCTCAACTTTTCCTACCTCTAAAATGGGGATAACAGTGATGTCAGCAGAGTGCTGTGGAGCTTGTGTGTTCAGGCACGCTACAGTGTTTCCTTGGTGGATGAAGGAGGAGGACAACGCTCTTTGCAAGAAAAAGGGTGAAGTAGTTATCTATTACTGTTTTGTCTTTTACATTGGTCTATTTCCTAGAGGTTGCTGCAGGCTGAAAGCAGAGTTACACCCTACGTTAAAATCAAGATATTGGGAAAATGCCTTTCAGTTTTAACACTGTAACTGATATAAGCCAACAAGAAAAATGTTATTTGTACCTAAAGGTAAATTGTTGAAGTCAATCTGTTGAGAGAAGTGTAACTTCATCCTTTTTCTCTTGGGTGGTTGGTCTGCACAGAAGCAGTCTGAAAGGTGATTAGGAAACCCTTCATTAAAAAATGCTTTCTTGCACGGAGTCCCTTTAAAGCTTTGTCCCCTATCAGGGTGATTGCTCCCATCATCAGGAACCTATACCAACGCCACAGGACAGACACAGTTCCTGAAATTGTAAGTGGAAGAAGGCACTACTCAGATGAAAGCATGGGAAGGAGTGGCACCCTAAAGGAGACCCATTTACTGCCTGATACTTACACCTGTCCTGTAGTCCCGTATTGATCTTGCTGATGAACAGAGAGAGCACTGATGCACACAGGATTTCTTATACAGGTCTCAAGGACCATTAAGTGAAATGGAAGAAAACTGAAAACAGCAATTGCAGGCGGTGAATTAGTATTTCCTGATAATACTATGTTGTGTTAAAGTGAGGCTTCGCCCAAGCTAGGGAAATGTGGCAGTCTGAAGTCTCCAGACTAAAACTAGTGTTCTTAAAGAATCAAAAGGAATGAGCCTGTTCCAGAAGGAGAAGCCCTTCAGGAGGAGCACTTACCAATCCATTTCTCCACTCACTCACACATCAGCAAAGTGGGGGAAACAGGGAGCAGCATGAGGACAGTAGATTTTGGAACAGCAGCTGTAATTTTATTAAGTTATTCTAGGTCTGTATCCATGTAACAAGAACAGGTGCTGACCACAACCTGTCATATGTGGATGAATTTTAAAGGAGGTATTTTTTCAGGTCTGAATGTTGCAAGCTGTTAAGGCGTCTTCATTCTCTGGTTTTGACCATTTTAGCAGTGATTTAGCTAGCCTTTGCCCATAAAGATATGACAACGGGTTGTGTGTAAAACCTACTTTCATAGTCTCCAGAGGGTTAATTACAAGAATGCAGGGAGCTACTGTTCACTAGGTGGGTGTTTTAATTCTCTTCCTTTCAGTAGCTTAAAGCTTTCAGCTACTGGCAACAAAACAATAAATAAAACAAACCATCTCTATTGCAGAGTTATTTTATTTCAAAACAGTTTGACTTTCAGAAAAAAAATCACTGTAATTGGAGTTGGAGTTGCAGGTGGCAGGCAGTTGTGGAGCTAGCAACCTATATGTTGCAAAGTACCAAAACCAGTAAAGCTTTTTTGTTATTATTATTATTTACTAGAAGTAGTATTTCTCTGTTTGTGATCTTGATTACGGAGGCAAATTCTTATGAACCCCGTTCCTCAAGAAACTTTAATTGTTCTGGTCTTCCTGAAACCATATTAAGGACTGAAAAATCCTGAAGAGAACTCTAGAACTAGCTTTTAGAATGAAGAAATGCTGACTTTTTACTTATCCAGCTGTGGCAGGCTGTAGTTTTTCAGCAGTGCACTTAAATTCAGAGCTCTAGGCCATCTCTGCATGTTTGCTTTGTGATTCAAATGTCTCCAGTGCTGGGAGGTATTAGTTACACAGGGATGAGCCTGGGTTTAGTTAGCCAGGATGTTAAGTCTTGACTCAGGCTTTCCCAGGGGCATGGTGGGTGTTGCTGTGCAGGCCTCTCTAAACAATACAGCACCGAGATTTATTTAGCCCAGAGAGAGAAACACGTAGGCATGGATTTGAGAGCTGGGTAGAGTTTGTGTGCTGCAGTGAGCAGTGCTAAAAAAGAGAGAATGTGTGAGATGATGTATGTGAATTCTGCACTGGCCTTCCAGATACTGTATTTGCTTTTTGATCTTGCTGTATTAAAACCTGCTTAACCCAAGTCTAATGACTGAATTCATTCTTTGAATTTATTTATTTTTTCCTTCCTTTTTCCTTTTGTTTGGTGCTGCTTCCTCTCTCCCTCTCTTCCTTCTTGACTGCCTGAGCAGGCACTTGCTCCTCCCCGTCCTCCTCTTCCCAAAGAGGAAAGCTTTGCATGGCGTCCTCGCACTGACACTAAAGTGACCAACCTGTTGCCAGTGCCCATCATGGACTGTGTGTACCTGAATGCACCCAAGCCTTATACACAGCGTGCATCCCCAAGTGCCAGTTCACGGTGTTATTTCTCATCACCTACCCCCTATGGGGCCATCCCCAGTGGGAAGCAAGGCTTGCCAGCAGGGCATTCTTCCTCTTCAGGCACCAAAGATGAGGTGCATGCTGGGCAGCCACTCTTGGAAACTCGCTCCTCGTTGGATGCACCATCCTTACAATGCAACCCTGACAGGGCAGATCCCAGTAGTAAAGCTGGAATGAATTCCAGTCATGAGACGAAGGCGGATAAAAAGGTCACCAAACTATATGTAGCTTGTTTATCTAACAGCACTTGCTCAGCCACATCTGAAAATTCCACTGGCACCGCACATGACCCAGAAGCCAGCACCAGTTTGGGTGCTGAGCTCACTCAGGCACCAGCCACCAACATTGTTTGCTCTGTAACAGATACTGAAAAGTCTCTTCCTGCTCCTCCTCCTCCTCCTATTCCTCCCAGGCCATACTTTTACATTGTCCTCAGTAAAGACGCAGTTAGTTATGGTGCGGGCCAACCCTCCTGGACTCAGTCATCACCTCCGCAAGCTGTGAGGGACAGAGTGCTAGAGCCCCAGAGCACAGCTTCCACAGAGGACAGGATGAGAAAAGAGCCTTACCTTACTCAGCAGCGACAGCCACCATACAAGGCAGTGGGACACAGCATGGTACAGGTTTTCTCCATAACCTTGTTTTCTTTCAGCCGTGTGAATGGTTCTTTAATTCATTACAATGTTCTCTTTAATGCTTTATTCCCCTCCTACCTAATTTCTGAGCACTCGTCGTGCCACGTGAGTCTTGTGGTCTTCTATTCGATAATACTTAACACCCCATGTGTGCCCCCTCCCCCAACATTGATCTGTGTGCTTGTGTGTGTGTGGTGTTTGTAGGGGGTTTGGCTGGCAAGGATCTTTCTATTTTAGGGAGGTGTAAAAGAAGCAAACTCTGTAATGTGATGGTTAGTGCTTATCAAGTAATGATGAATTCAGAGCTGTTCTGTGGTTTGATTTAGCCTTGCTGCACAGAACTGGAGAAAAGGGGTGGTGCAGGGAAGGAAGATTTTTGTGAGAAAAAAGTGTGTGTTCATAGAGGCCAGGGCTGCAAGGCTGAAGAAGTATGTCTCCCTAATGAAAGAAAATCTGGGCCTGTCGTATCATTTTGGGTGCATCCTTGCATGACACTATACAGCTGTACAAATCTCCCCCATTGCATAACACCACCTTGTTTCCTACAGGATGCCACTGCCACCACCACAGCTCAGCCTGGGGTAATAGTAGTCCCCCTCCTCCAGGTTAATCCAGACAGACAGCAAGACGGCAGCTCCAGCACTCCACCACCGCCTCTGGTTCCTTTCGGGCAAGGCTCCGTATTCCCTGAGACTGTTTCTCCTGGCTCACCCTTGACTTTTCCGACACTAGATGATTTCATTCCCCCACATCTCCAGAGGGGCTCCCACCATAACCAAGCACCCTCTGCATCTGGCACATTACCCTCTGTTTACCCAAAACTGCCATTCTTCTCATCACCACCTTCACTTGTCCCTCCAGTCACAGGGGCTTTGCACAGGGGCTTGAAGCCTGAAATCACTGGAGTCATCTCACGTACAGTAAGCTTGCCAAGTATCCTCCTCGCCCTTTTCCTAAATTTGTATTCTCAGATTAAAATTACTTTCTCCTTGCAATACTAAACTTGAGAGAGGAGTCATGACTCACTCGCTGCCAGCAGCATGACAACTGAAACCTTGTTTACGTCCTGTGCTAGTGCATGCACGTTGCCTGCCTTGTGCAGCTTTGAACTTTCTACTGACTTTTCACAGCATTTGACTGTCCCACTTGTGCCCGTTCTGTTAGGTGATGCATACCTCGAGTCTACGTGGGATTTGCTCAGAATAGTGAATTCTGTATCAATAGAATAGCTGCAACTCGCTGATCTCTTCAGACTCTCTTAATAGCATCCTTAATTGTGTTTGAATAACATTTAAAGCAGCGACAGCAAACAAGTTAAAGTTTAGGGCTGGCTTTCTGTTCTGCTTGAAGCCACAAGACTGTATGGTCTCCACACAAATCCCTGCTGAAATCAGTGTGAGATTGCTGCCAGTATCCAATGACCTACAAGCAATAATATCAGCTATTGACCTAAGAGTCTTCCAAGCATGTACATGCTGTGGGGTGGATTAGTGGGGAGAGTGTCTCTTCAGTTTGGAATTGCTTGTCTTTGAAAATGTTGAAGAATTCAATCCACAGTAGTTTTAACTTGGAATTGACTGTGTTTTTCTTGGATTAGTTTTTTTTTTCTCTTCAAGTTCATCACCTGTTTTAAAAAGTCCTCAGGGACAAGGAAGAAAAGTAGATCTTAGTTAAAGTTGCTGAGGTGGCAAAAAGTACCTGACCTTTCTTCTATTGGAAGTCTTGCAAGCACCTTTTTTTTTTTTATTATTTTTTTGTACATGGTTTCTTGTAAGGAAAAGTAAGAAGTTCAGCAGAAAACCCCATCCTCTCATGATAATGCTTTCTCTGCCCTCTGACTCTATAGGGATCTAGCAACCAGGCATGTGGAGGGCAAAAAAAAAAAAAAGAAAAGAGAAGGAAAACCCAAGAATGATATTTTTTAAAAGTTTTCAGCATTGGCCTTTCTGCTTCTGTTAAAATAGGTGGTTTTATACTACAGAGAGCAATGAGAGTTTGGGATTTTTGGTGGGGGATTTTTTTTTTTTAATGAATCCTATCTGTGGGCTACAGAATAATTCTGTAGTGTAAATTTTGTAGTAGTAGTACAAATTTTGTTGTACACAATTTTCATGAGATGAGAGTTTTGAAACATTTTTGGGCATGCTCACTTCAGGCACATTGTTACAGAACTGTTTTCCACAATGATTTAAATGGTCTTTGTGAACCTACTTTGTTGACTTAGCTGGTGCTGATAAGCCTATCCCTCTTTTTTTGAGGGGTTCTTTATATTTTAGTTATCTAAGTGAAGCTCAAACCCAACTCTCTCACACTTCTCCCTGACTCCCACTCCTTTTCTCAGATTGCATTGTTTGGAATATTATCACATCCAGCAAAATGGGGCTGGGTCTCTCTCTTAGGGACATCTATTTCTGAAGACCATTGATTCTTTTCTGTCCTCATGAAATGACCGTGGCCTGATCAGGTGTTGCTTGGAGCAAGATCACCTCCATCTAGCTGACCAGGATTGTTCTCCCCTATTTCATTTCCCCTCTAGGTTGGAGAGACTGTAAATGCTTGCTCTGATTATTGCAAATTCTCACTATGATTTATCTCTGAGATCTGGTGCCAGGCCTTGTTCTGGCCCCTGTTCAGGCCCCTGCCTGATCCTGTAAGTCCTTTCCCCTGATACTGGTGGGTATGAAGTGCACCAAGTTGCACTTGGCCAGAAAAGCCAGGAGTAGGGATTCTTCTGGAGCAATGCTCCATGTATATTCAGGTTTTTTTAATAGTGATGATCAGTGGCCTGTCACATTTCAGTCTAACAGTGGAATAGCAGGAGTGCAGAAATCTGATATCCTGTTCCATACTCTTTGTTTGGATGCTCATTCCGCATTAATGATAATTGTATGTCCAAATTCCTTACAGAGCTTTAAAAAATAGCCTAAGCTGATGTACACAGTCTTAGTCATCATCCCTTCTTCATCTTTTCCCCTTACTACCAACAAAAGCCTGGTATCCTTGGACTGAGATTTTTCAAAGATTAACTATTTTTTAAAGCTTTCTGCTGACACAGCCTGTATTTCTACAGAACAAGCAGAGCTGTGGTGATACCAAAAGTGGGTTTGAAATAAGCAAATAATGGAGCTGGATGCTTTAGGAGAGCAAGAGCAGTCTGCTATCTGCGCCCCAGTGGCAAAACCAAGTCAAGTACCTTCCTTGCTAGAGTCCTACTTTTTACCTTCTATCAGTTTGGGGGTTTCTTAATTTCATTATTTTAATCAGGTAGGCGTCTCACTGTCTCCTGAGTGATGGTGCTAACCTTATTCCTCTGACCTTCCTTACCAAACCAGCTACAGTAATAATGTTTCACTACAGAACTGCATGAGTTTTGCACGTCTGACTTTTTGCTATGAGAAGAATACTTTTAAAACAGATGTTTGTGTATGTATGTATCGGGGGAAAGATGTCTGTGTCTTCCCCCCACAACTGGATTTGCTAATTTCTGGCACACTGTGTTTGCTCCAGAGAGTCTGCCAGATGAATTTAGTGCCTCCTTTTGGGGTTGGGATTGTGAAACCCAATACCAAATAATTATAGTGCTGCTGTAGCAAGCTAATTGCATTAACAACAAGCAGGGTATGTACAAGGAGCAGGGTAGCACTCATGCTTATGCCTTTTTTACTAAAATTTGCTATGATTATGCTTCTCATTCATCTTAAAATGCTTTTTACCCCCCCACAATTCTCACAGTGTAGCAGCGTTCTGCATGCTGTTAATGACGTGTTGCTCTCCTTTTCAGGACCCAAGTTCTGTGTTAAATGAAGTGACTCAGTCTGGCACTGGCACTGACTATCCAACCTTCACTTCAATCAACAAGTCTTCCTCTGCCTATCCCTCTACCACAATCGTCAATCCCACTATTGTCCTCTTACAGCACAATCGAGGTAAGGACACTTGCATATAGATATTTGTGGCTCAAACTGAGCAACCTGTTAGACTACAAGAAACTGGAAAATGCGTGCACTGTGGACAATTAAGTCTGGGCTACTAAGAGCTAACAAAGCTGCTTCCAGAAAATTGTAGTGACTGGAGTATACAACAGGCAAGTTAGAGGTTAGAGGCTTGAGACAATGTCTACTTTTTCTAATTAAAATTTGTGGATCAGAAGCCACTTTGAGGTTGAGGAAGAGGCTTATGACTGGGCTATGGACATATGCATATGTTACTGCAGGGCAGCTGTTTAACCCCCAACAGGTATCCTGTCATGGTGGAAAAGGGTATATGCTCGCGTGTTGCTGTCAGTAGAAGCAAGGTAACTTGAGGTAGGTTCTCCCTCACTGGAAAAGGTTTTATGTTTCTTCTCAGCTACTGCAGTCTGAAAGCAGACATATTTTCAGTTACTGTGGGAGACATTTGACCCCTGAATTTTCAGCAGATTTTACCCAATGGCATTACCCCAGTCTCCCAGTTCATTGTGCATCACTGGAACTGGACTGTAGCTTATAAAGGGCCACACAGATAGAGTCCAATTTGCCTTGGTTTCTAGTGGACTTAGGAAACTCCAGGACAGGCTGATTCCCATCTACAGTGCTAAGAAAAAAAAAAAAAAAAAAAAAACAATAAAAAATCAGGAAACAGTCAAGGCCTGCATTCGTCATATTGTAGTCATTCTAATTACAGGCATGCATTGATATGTTCCTTTGCAGCCTCTTACATATTTTTTGTCAGTGTCTTTTTAAAACAGATCCTGAAGATAGTGTCCTCGCTGAAGCCCAGCTGATTATGGGGCTAACAAGTGGGTTATCTCCCTTTTTGCCAGCATCTGAAGTAGCTTTGGTGCTTCTCAGTGAGGGTGTCTGGATTCCTCAACTTCTTCAAGAGGAGAAAATATATTATTTGAAGCAGCCTTTTTAATCTCAAAGCCTTTTGTTGACTTTCTTGAGGTGGGATACTCTATTGGTGGGTTTTTGCATTAAATCTGGAGCATTTCAGTGTGTACCACACAAGGATATTTTCTCTCTGTAGATTTTTAAGAGCACGAAACACAAATCTATATAATATGATGATCCACACACACTGTCTCTGAGACAATGGATGTCATATTGTTCTTTTCACTAATTACCTTCACAGTTAACAATTTGTCCTGTCTGAATACATCTTGCCTCTGACCATCGGCACTTGTGATACTGTATCCTGATAGATTAAAGAACCTTCTCTCATCACGTTTTTGTTGACTGTGATATAGATCATGGCCTGATAAGCAACTTTGAATCTGTGAAGTATCTCATTCTAATGTGCGTTTTTCAATCTTTAGTGGTCAAACTTGTAATCTGAAGAACCACAATGAACTGGTTTGACAAGGCATCTTAGTCATAAATCTGTATTGAATGACACTGCGTGTGTCATACTATGTATTTATTAGTAAAATACCATAGAAGTCGTTACAATTTTTTTTTTCCTGGCATTATTGTTGACTTGACAGACAGATGTCCCAGCCATCACACTAATGCTTTTTGAAGGCTGTCACAACATTTGCCTTCTTCCTTGTCCTGTGGAGTTTCCTTTGTGTTCCAAGACATACCGAGGATGAATGTTAATAGTCCAATGAGCTGCTCTCTGCATAACTGCTCTCTTTAGAGCAGAAAACTGCTCTGAAACTCTTCCGTACAGTTTATATAAACATGCTAATTTTCAAGCATCTGACCTCAGTTGTTGTCATTCAGTGTAGTCCTCGGTTACTGTTGAAGTGGAAAGTATTTCTTCATCAGACGGTAGGACGTCAGACTTTGTTCTTTCTTTTTACAAATGCAGAATGGAAACAGTAATCAGATGTGTCATCTTTTCTGCCCTCATATTAACAGTTCCACTGTGCTGATTTGGTAAAAGAACAAGATCATTGCTAGGTTTCTGTTTATTCTTTGTGTACCTTAAAACCTATTTTTGAGTCTCTGAGACATTCTGTTAATTCTTCCATTATCATTTTCTTTCACTTCCCAGCATATGTTACCTACTCATAGGTATATGTTTTCTTAGTTTTCTATCTTTTTGTGATGAGGGTTTCTTACAGTACCTTATATTTAGATCCATTAAGTTTTTTGATTTTTTTTTGTTGTTGTTGTTTGGTTTGGTTTTTTGTTTGTTTTTGTTTTGTTTTTTCTGACAGTGTTTTTAAATAGTTCTCAGATCTTGGGTTTCTATTACATTTCTGTCTTGGCTGACATGATTCATATTTGGTTTCATCTTTATGGACCTTATCTATTCAAAACTGGTTTTGTCTCATGGCATACAACAAATTGTTACTAGCTTACGATCCACCTTCCCCTGAACAGTTAATCACGTCTTGTGCTGAAATCAATTTCTTCATGTCAAGATGAGGTTTAATATAAATTCCTCTTGGGTGCTATGAAATACCCTCTGAATTAGAAATTTCAAGGTCATTTTAATGTTGGCAGTCTGAGATCTCCAGTAGTTTAGTTAGTCTTCCAGATGAATAATGTGGCTTTTTCTCTCTTCAGTGGATTATTCATTGCTTTTTAAGGAGCTGGATAACTTATTGTCTGGAGAGACTGTGTGGCAGATGTCACCCACTGTCCTATTTTATGCTTTATCTGCTCGTTCATTACTCTGTCAGCATGTAAGACCCTTTGATTTGGAGCTATCAGAGACTTAGAAACAGGTAATGGCATTTGAAGCACAGAAACTACACTGCATCTTTTTTTTGTCAGCTTGATCTTACTGAGTAAGTTGTGATGAGAGATCTCAGAATTTTTCCTACTGGATTTCAGTAATAGCAACTGAATAAGATTTATGCTTATAAACAAGTCCCTTCAGATCCTCTTGTTCATTCCTAGCACCAAGGTAAGAACTTCTTCCCTTCATATCTGTTGGTGTCTTGACTAATTTCCTTTTTGACACCTTTATTTTGCACAAAACATGTACTCAAGTAGTTACATCCTCTACCCCTTTTGTTACTGGTTTCCAGACTTACTCTCTTCCAGTGCTCCCTCCTCTGCAAACTCTGAAGGCATCTATAATCATTCCTTCACTGTTGCCAGCAGTTATATTCTTATGCTTGACCCTTTCTCTGAGAAGCCTACAGATTTTTGGCCTTTGCTTACAGTCCCAGAACACAAGATCCAGGGTGAAAGCCTCAGTTAGCTGGCATGTGCCTGGGGCTGCAAGCTGGCTCTGGTCAGGCAGGAGAATGAAATAGCAGACACCTCCTGCTCCTTCCGCTTCTATCCATCCGCAGCATTCTTTCCTACTCAGAGACATAAGTGAAAAGGAAACGTCCTCTTCATATAAGAAGTAAATGAAAAGTCTATTAGTCCATTATAGTCTCTCCCCTGTGGAAGCAGAGATAGGAAAGAGCTCTCGAGTATCGACTCTTTAAACAACATGTTATTGTTAAGAGACCTTAGTGATTGAATGCAATTCTCTTCATTGAAGGTGATGGCTGAAGCTGAGACCATCCTCATTTCATTTTTCTTATAATACAGTAGGCTGCTCCTGATGGTCTGCTTAGAATGAACACTGCAGTAGATGGTTCCCATCTACTTTTCAGGTTCAGATTGCTAACTCTTCCTTTTACCCATTGCACGTAGGGGTTTGTTTCATATATTGACAGCTATCATGTGAGCATAATGCACACGAGCAGCTTGACATTGGTGGTTAGCAGAGCAGAAATGCTGGGCTTAAAGGACCAAGTTCATGGATATTCCTGGGGAAGCTGCATTTAGTGAGGAGAAATATCTGTCTCACTTGCTGAGATGATCCACTTAATACAAATACCTAGTGAAGGTGGGTTCTGTTAGCAAGCAGCATACACCTGGAGGATTGTTACCTACTCCAGACTTGCTTGGTAAGTGTCCCACACCACCCCAAAGCAGTTATTTCCTGGGCAGGCATTGCATGGCATGGTTTATTATGAAGATGTAACAGGTGTGCTTAAATATATTAAAGTTTTGAAATCTTTGCATTAACAATATAAACTTTCAAAAGTGTTTGTATTTTGTATGTTAATAAAATAGTTTATTCTTTTCAAATGGCTTTCATGCTTTAAATGAAAGGATTAATTGCTAGAGTGCAGAAAGACCAGAGAGCTAAGATTTAATGGTTTATTCCCATCTGTAACTTAGGCAAGTCATTTGGGCATCCCTTTAGAAAGCAGCTGTAAGCATCAACTTCAGGGTGGTCCAACATGCTGGAAGATACCACAGATGTCCCAGTCTGGGAACTCAGTAATGAAGGGCTCTAAACTAAGAGGACCATTCTGAGAATCAAAGCCTTAACCAAGCTGTGTCTGTGCACCCATCACTGAATCTGTGGCTCAGTAATATGTGATGAGTCTCAGCAAGCACCAACAATGACTTGATCCTTTCCTATATGCCTTTGAAATGCTACAACAGTATTGTTTAAAAGTGTACTTCATGCTAACAGAGTTAGTTGTCAAGTTGTTTGACTCTGTGAATCTTTGCTGTTTTTCAAATTGTCTCCTGTCCACTTTTTTCATTCTCTGATGTTAAGAAAAAAATGAAAATTAAAAACCTCTTTGGAAATGTATCAATCACTGCATCATGAGATTCATATTTTTCCACGAGTCTGCGTGGAGAAGGGACAGTGGGCTGTCACTTTGGCAGGGTATTTGAAAACAGATTCTCTCCATCAGCAGCTGCCGTTCTGTCTACAGCATATTTCTTGCCTGTCAGACATGCAGCACCAGAGCACTTGCGGTTTATGTCTCACCCATTTGTTCTATATTTCTTTTTGTTTTGTTTCTTCCTTTACCACAGAACAGCAAAAAAGGCTTAGTAGCCTAGCAGGTATGATGTGAAAGGTCTGCTACCCCCAACTGCTGCCTTTGCTGGAGCAAAGCTGCTGCTTTGTTAGCTTGTGGAGTACCTTTAGCAAACACACTTCCCAGGAACTGCAAAGGAATTAGTATAAATATTTGCCATGGCTTAGTCCAGGTCACTGAATGTTTGATTTCAGTCTTTTCTCCAAATGCTATCTGCGTGGCCACATGTTAGTATACTGAAACCGTAAATTTTTTGTCTGTTTCTCCTAAGTCATAAGATTTACATACAGCTTAATTATTCTAGTTGACTTCTGGGACTGCCGGTAGGTTTATTCCCTTGGGTCATATTCTCAAGTTTCTCTACACAGCTATTAGTCTTGCTTGTGGTGAGGGAAGAGGAAAAGAAATAAAAACCAGTATTTATGTGACTCCAAGAGCAGAAGTATTTGTGCCAGATGTCAAGAAACAGATGATAAAATTGTAGTGTGCAAGTATGTTTGTGTGCTGTCACTCTTCTCCCCCCACGGAGCTATCAGCTCTTGCAACCAGGGTGAGAGTCTCTCCTCGAAAGATGAGGAAGTTGTTTTCCTGGTCATCTTTCCCTCCCCACACCCCAAATAGGAGTAGCTCAGTCTGCAGTGGATGTTATGGGAACAGTGTGTTACGCACCACTTACCCATATTATTATTCTTTGTTTATGGCCATGGCGGGGTAGATGAAGAGGTGGGAGAGAAGAGAGTCACAGAGTGCCTAAGCACTTTAAATATCACAAACAGAAGCACAGGGGAGCCAATACTGCATGCTCTTGCTGTGCTGCATGGTCCCCAGCCTAGTGGAGCGTGTCCCATGAGGCAGCGGCTGACCTGGTCAGACATCATCCGTCAGGTCCCTCAGCTATGACACCAGCCTGTCCCTCCTCTCTGCTGCCACCCTGCTGCGGTGACAGGCTTTATGACAGCTGACATCGGTTTCTCTCAGCTCCTTCCCTTAGTGTAGGTGGTGTCTCATCGGACACCACTCAGCTGTGAGTTTAACGCTTCTCTCCAATTCCAGACAGGGGTTTCCTGTTGGTTTTCCTTTTTGCAAGCTGTTTCCCTTCATTATCAGCATCTCCTTTGTTTTCTGAACTAGAGATGGCCACAGAACAGTTTGCTAGAGCCCGAATGAGCCTCAGTCTGGAAGAGTGAAGCGCTTTATGGCACAGCTGGGTCTGCACCTGGTCTTGGTGTACCAAAACAATCACACAAAGCTGCTGGCTGCTACCTCTCCCCCTGCTTTTTATGTTTTATTGGTTACAGCAGTAAAACTATCTTGTGCAACTTTACATATTGCTGCTGCTTGCAAAAGGAGGCTCAGATGCCATGGAGTGCGCTGACGGGTGCAGTCTGGTTATTTGGGTGATTAGGCACCAGATTTGGCTCTCTAATTTTTTAAATACCTCAAAGCCTGGCATATACGTCCATAAACTCTTTCAAAATTATTGGAGCTGCATGGAAAAAAAGTCAGCGTGAAGTTTAGGTGTTATTCACCAAGTTGTAGGATATTGTAGGAAATCTGTGGTGAAAGATATCTGCTTTAGTTCCTCCCCCTGCAAAGACACCGGTGCAGCAGGTGTCTGTGTTTGCAGTATCAACTGGACCAGCAGCTAAACTGGTCCTCTTGGTTGAGTCCTGTGGACCTAGGAAGGACTTACCTGGCAGGGTTCCCAGGGAGGGCTTGCTCTTACACAACTGATGCTGTCAGACAGGCCTTTCCTGTCTTTAGGGTTGTCAGTCCAGCACCTTCAACCAGTTCTAGGTGTATTCCAGAAAATATTTTTGAGAACTCCTTCAAAGTACGTTTAACTGGCTGGTAGATTTTTACCCTGGCCATGCCATGCTAGATAACTCCCAAACCTTCATGTTATAATATCAAAGATGTGAATTCATAGTTGGGATGGCTCGCACCGGCCAGATGGTGGTTTTTTTTTTTTTTGCTAAATCATCAAAATAAAGAGTTTGCCTAGATCATGGTTGTGGCACTGGAAAATCATGTTGTAATACATTTACCCTGTTGTTTATACTCATATTAGGTATTTTGAATATTGTCATCATAGTTTCAGATGGGGTCTACCTGGCAATCAGCCAACCACTTTTTTAGTGCAGGGAGCTAAGGAATCGAAGACAAACAATATATATTTACCAGTCCAGTTAGAGAAGGACTTTGTGACCTTCTCTGGCATTGAATTCTTTAGCCTGCAGAAAATAATGACTTTTCGAGACCAAAAGCTCAGGACTTGTAACATCAGCAGTGACAATGATAAGTAATGGAGGAAAGCTGTGACTTTTCCTAAAGTTTGCATCCTCTCCACATCCAAAAAACTGCTTACTCTTGGTCTTCAAGGTCATGGAAGAATGGTTGAGTTTCAGTTGCTCTTTCCATGCACTGTTTCTTGAGTCTTAGTAAGGAGTTTATTAATGGAAATAGACCAAATACTTCCTAGAAAAGGGAGAGCCCTGTACACCAGGGACATAAGAGGACCAAAAGACAGTGCACACAGAATCATAGGGAGGGAAAATAGGATGAAAATGCTAAAAAATGATTTAATAGATGCTTTGCCCTATTTTCAACATTTATAAACATTATTTCATTTTTTCTTAAAGAGGAGAAAGACTTAAAGTTTGATGGTAATTTCAAACCAGCCACTCAAACACAAGTCCTTCATGTACTGAGTTTCACAGGGCAGAATTGTGTTTGCTCAAGGTACCAACAGACCAATGCTTTGTTATGCACGAGTCTTTCCTCTGCTAACTGCCACTTTCAGATTTCTGCACATGTAATGGCTTTGGGCAGTATGGTGATGTGCATGTGAATAAACATCTCTCTCTCTTTCTCTCTCTCTTCAATGCATGCAGTGATGTAAAAAGGGTAGGACTTGGCAAAGTCTTGATGAGGCAGACTGTAAAATCACAGATGCTTCCTTTCCAGAAAATCCACAGAAAACCCTTGGCAGAGCCTAAGGGTTTCTCCAGAGCATAGTAGAACTTCAGAACAACCTGAGCTCCCTTGGTTCTTCAACCAGTGATGGTAGTGCTGCCTGCTACTACATGTGGGTGTCAGTTGGGCAGTGTCAAGGAATTTCAGGTGGAAGCAAGGTGGTCTGGAGCAATTAGTTGTCTCCTGCCATCTTTATGCAGACTCATGTGCATGAGGAATCATATGTATGCTTAAACAACAGTGGAATTTGTTGTTTACAAACTGGTTAGGGCACAGAGATGAATTAGAAGCATCATATACTGACTGTAATGAATAGGATTGTTAGGCAGGTGAGTGCAAGCTGTTAAAAAGTAGTGCCTTACTACTACATAGGATGTTCCATTAGATCAAAATCTCTAGCAGAAAAAGATGCCTAGGAGACTATCACTGATGCTTTTTGGTGAAGAATAAGATTGCAGAGTCACTAATTAGTCAAAAAGACACGAAAAACCAATCACCAAACAGTCCTGTAAACAAAAATTTTCCATTGTTTTACATGACAGCTGAGACTGTCATGAGATGTATGGAGGTAGCTACATGAGAGATGCTAGCCTGCTTTTGCTGGCATCAAACATTTTCACGGTAGATTTCCTTCAGTCCAGATGCTAACCACAGCTAGCAGTGACACAGTCTGCCTCATCAAGTACTTGCTGGGATTTTTGCGTTCAAAGAGTGGAATATGGTGATGTGGCAAAATGCTGCGATGAGATAAGAATCCCCCATTGTCATTTCCAGATTCAGTGCCAGACAGACTGGTTTCTGATAAAGTTGATTCAGTGCTCATTCGGGACAAGCTGGTTCAAGAGACAGTGCCAAGTGAGAAGAGGGCCATGGAGGAGAAGAGAAGCATTGTCAAGAGCCCTCAGCGCATGGCTGATACTTCCGTTGATGATATTGGCATTCCACTGAGGGTAAGACAACACTGAGCATGTGGTCGATGTACAAAACTTGGGCCGGATTCTGCCTACCTTAGGACTTGGGGAATTCACTGAAGCTCCAGAGACTGCAGAGATTTAAGGGAAGGCAGAATTCCAGTTCCAATACATTTTATTATGAATGCTTCCATTTGCTACTAATGGCCTGTTTCAGCTACCTCACAGGGAAAAAAGTTAAAAATTAATGCCCCTTTTCATCATATTTGAGAATACTGTTTTCTGCTCTTCTGTTTCATTCACAGCTAGCAGCTAAGGGAAAGTTTTGTCTCACTTTATCCATCTTAAAGGTGGATATCTCTTTTATACAACATGTTTAAGTTCATTCAGTTTACAGGAGAAATTATCATGAAAATAATTAACCTATTCTTACAACTAGTGTCTGGAGTGACTTGAACACTAAATGTTTTGAACTGTCCACTGAATACTTAGGAAAACAGAACGTATGACTAAAATAGGCCAGGTGTCTACTTTTAGATGTCAAATCAGATTAACATGCAAAACCTTCCACACAATCTACAGTTCTACACAGATTGCAACCTACCCCTGTAAAGCTTGCGCATTATGAGTAACTTAACTGAAGCCTGTAGCTTTCTTACATATGAGATTATATATTTGAGTGAAATGACTCATATTTCAAAATATTAGTTTTATATAGCAGAGTATAAACCTTTTTCATTGCTGGAAGTCTGGTAGAATTAATGGTTGTGATTATGTGTATATTTATCTTTCCAATAGAATACAGACAGATCAAAGGACTGGTACAAGACAATGTTCAAACAGATCCACAAGCTAAATAGAGGTACTGTAACACAGATGTTTATTTACCTTAAAAGACCACCTTGATAACATTTTGATTCATTCAGGTAAATAAATGTACTACATGTTATATAAAAGTGTTTTATGTTAACTAGTATTTGCTCTGCACCACAGAACTCAGTCAATGTATTTGAAATACCTGAAGTCAAAGGTGAGAGAACAGTGAAGCCCAAAGAAAGGTCTGAGTTGTTCTGAAAGGTGAACTGAAGTGCCCTCATGAAATCAAGAGTACTATTTGAGATCAGAAAGCTGCTAATAATTCCATACTTAGAGAAAATAGATCCCTGAACTCCAGTTTTAGCAGGTAACCCCACCCCTACACATTTTTAAAGGACAGCAGGTTATCACTGAAACTGCTGTATGCATATGGAAAAAATTTTTCACTATAAAGCTTTAGTACCTGCATAACAAAGCTTGATTTGAAGCTCACTGAAACCGTTGGAAAGGTTTCCACTGATTTTTGGTGAGTTCAGAATCTGAACTCTGCTTTTTCAAAACCTCAAATTTTTTCCTTTCAAAACCTAAACTTGTGGCAAGCACTTGCAAACTTTATAGTGGTGCACTCTCAGGGGATCCCTACTTTGGGGCACGTCTGTGCCTGGCTGCTGGTACATTCATGTTTGTTCTTCTGTGTGAGAAATGGCTGCAGTAGCATTTGCAAACTGAACCGTCTGATGTGCAGGTAAATGCAATTCAGAACTGCGCTTATATAATAAAGCAGAGCATGCAAAACTGGAGCTGTATTTGCTGCTGCAGGTGCTGTCATGATGGGCTTTATGCATAGATAGATGCTGTGTTGTATTGGATGCAATGAGAAAAGGTTGAACTGTTCCTAATCCCAGTGCTCCTAAGAGCCCATGCTTCAGGAGTAGGAGAAAGAGTTCAGTCCCCTCAGCTTCCAGGATCTCTTGCAGGGCCCAGACATTCAATGAGCAGAGAGGCATCTAGGTTGTGTCATGCTAGAACATCAGCACGAGAGGGACTGTTCGGCAGTCAGTTTGTATGGATTCTTGTCTCACTCTTCTTCCCCTTTAAATCTGTCCTCTCTGTTCTTTTTTGCAAATCATGTTCCTCTCCTTAGACATTCCTGAAGAAAACCCTTATTGCCCTACCTACATATTTCCTGAACTTCCTGAAATCCAGCAAAAAAATGAAGGTACCAGAAGTTTAGTCAGAGTATCTGTTGTCTTGTGCTTTGAGTTAACTGTACTATAGCACCCTAATAGTAACTAGATTCAGGTTCTAGATTTCCGTTATCCATGTGTTACACTGGCTGGAAATTCAGTTATGCCCAGTATACCTTCTTGTGCGATGCATAAAATAACTAAACCTTTGCTAATCCATTAATCTTTTTTTAAAATATGATGCCATTTACTCTAGTATTATTAAAGTAGGCAATAAAATCATATGGTGATAGGAAATTGGGGGATGAAGCAGAACCTCCACTTCACTGTGGATAGTCTCAAAATCCACTGCTTTTCTCTGCTGCAGAAGACAATCCTTATTCTCCTACATACCAGTTTCCTGCGTCTACTCCTAGTCCTATCTCTGAAGGTAATAATAAAGGACCATATATATTTTTTCTGCACAAATGCTGCCTTATGCATTTATTTTCTTCCTGGAGTTTTTTCTAGTTGCTGAGCATTATGCTGCCTTCACAGTGATTTGCTGCACTCTAAGCATTGCCTTGACTGTATGATGCCCTTTTGGCTTTGCAGTGCTCCTCTGGCTTTGTAACCAGCATTTGACTAATGCTACAGACTTGGAGTTTGCTTGGTTTTATGTGCTTATCAGTTGTATTTAGCTATATGTGTGCAGTGATTATTTAACATGCCTAGAATGCTGACTTACGTGTAAGGATATGGTTTAACTGAGATTTCTCCCACCCCCCCTTTCAGTTCTATATATTTCTTTAATTATTTCCTTCTGGTTTCGAATATTAACACAGTATTAGGGCCAGACCCAGAATGCCACTGAAGTCTATTGGTAAAAAAATCTGCTTGCTTCAGTGGGTTTTGGATCAGTCCCTTGATGTAGTCTTTTAAAATAAATATAACTTGGTAACATAGGTTCAGGGATGGCCTTAGGTGCACTTCGGCATATCTAGGCAAGGACAGAGTTTGACAGTCTCATCAGCACATCTTGCAACTTGAAATAACACTGTCTTCACCTTATGCTCTTCATGTGCTCAGCAGATTCCTTTAAACTTCGTGTACAAACCAAAATCCTTTGCAATCATATTTAAGGGATGGTGAAGTAGCACCTACTGCAGTGATGATCATGTAACTGTGTGCATATGCATGAAAACACTTATATATGAGAAGCACTGGAATCCACTGCACACATTGGACATACAGACATTTCTTGATTGGGAAATTGCTGTTGGTGACAGCCTTGTTGACTTCGTGCTTTGGTGTCACTTTAAATCCTTCAATTTAGGAACTTGCCTACTTAGCCTGTGCCTCAAGCCAACCCTGGTGAGACTATTAATTAACCATTTCATTCAATGTTTATATTAAATGTATGGTGGGTACGGTGTAAGAAAAAAGCATACGATATGGTTTTTAGCCAAGATGCTCAAAGAAGACTAGGAGATATAAGGTGTATTTCACTGTTAAAAAGAATGTGGACTAGCGTCATACAGGCATCTAAGATACTTGCTCATTTTTTGGTGAAACCTGTAGGTGAAGAGTCCCATCTTGCAAATCATAATGCAGTATAAATTATTTCCTGTTGGCAGAATGGTATTTGGGTATGGATCACAGAGAAACAGAGTCTCAGTAACCAATTGATAAAGGAGTTTTACAGAGCTTCAATTTTCTCATTTGTAATGAAGTTTGAATATTCATTTTGCTCTTGTCTGAGCTAACGTAGTTTGCAAAACCAGTGATGATAATGTATTAAGAGTCTGGTTTCCCATAAATGTCCTCTATGCACTTACAAATATGTATATTAAAGTAATTTGCTGGTTTAGGTAGTTGAAATTTTATTGGATTGAACACTTGGGTTTTGTTCTCAATATGTTGGGAAATGTTTCTCTAATATTTGCTTGGGTTCTTTCCAAGGGAATCCGGAATATCTGTGGGTGGGTTGGTGTGCATGTTTCATGTTTAGAAAACATTTCAAAGTTATATACTTGATGACAAAGTGTTTATACAGCCTCAATTTCATAACAATTAGTGTCAGAGTTTTTTGCTTTGGATTGAAGCATAGGATCTCCCAGAAACATCAAGATTTGGGCTCTCCTTTAGAATATCTTTAGAGTCTCCAGAAACGTAGAGAATATGGCCAACCCATGAGAAAAAAAACAAACAAAAAACAGCAACAAAAAAAACCCCAAGCTGCAAATTCTCTAGGAACTACAGGGGAACAGCCTCTTCTCGCTAAAAGAATCAGATTTTGAGATTACAAACTGGTGATACCCTGCTCCATTAAGGAGGATCCCACAGGTAGAATTCACCTCAGAGAGCCAGGAGATCTTGTTTTAATGCTCATCTCCGATTTACTCTTTAATCAAGTCATTCCAGATATCTGTGTTTCAGTATTCCTTACTATAAAAAGAGAAGAAATATAGACACTCTTCTTCATAAGATACTCAGAGACAAAACATACCTGTTCTCCTTATTAATGTAGATATTAGAATCTTAGAAACTGGAAAATTGCACTTATCTAAAGTGAATTTTTATTGTATGGTTTTCCTCTCTGAATGATGAGCTATAATGAATATTGATATTTCTCTTCAAGTATGTAAATAATTGTTTTCAATTGACGACCAGTTCTAAATAAAACTAGGAGAGATGAAGATAGTTTTAGACATTTGTTAATCTGTATTTGTAGGGACTGACTGTAGTTTTGTGATTTACCGAGTATTTTGCTATCTGAATAAACCCAACTTTTATATAGGAATACCAATCAATTTTGTCAACAATTCAGTGTAATAACATTAAATAAATAAATATTTGTTTGATGTCATTTAAGTTTAAAATATGGGAATTGGCCTCAAAATTGACCTTTGCTATTTTTTAACCTGAAGGTTATGATAAGCACACCAGAGTCAATAAGCATCTGCTTGGAACTTAAACCTTTTAATTCATTCAGCAAGAGAACTCAGCAGAGAGACTAAAAGTTAAGTCGTCTTTGAGCCTTCCTGAAAGGCTTGATTAAGGTTTGGAGTGCAATTTCAGGTCAACTGTGTTAGCCAGATTGTTTTTTCGAGCAGATGAGATTGGTTGTAGCAGCTGATTGATGTCTTTCTTGAGAGAAGAGCTGGTAATTGTTTTAATCTGTTGATCGGCATCACTAAATTCACATAACACTTTTTTAGTATGTTCTTTTCTTATCTAGCTTATTCTAGCTTCATCTATTTTTTTTTTCCCTGTCTTTTTATCTCTGTCACTTTTAGTAGTTTCTTCACAGAGGTATTAGTAATACCTTTGCTGACAGGGCTCTTTGTAGTCATTGCATTGTACTTTCCTGTATTTTTGCCTTGGAAGTCCTGTAGATGGCTCATATGCACATCCCTGCAGGTTTGAACCCTCATCAACAGAGAAAGGTGATGGGCCTGTGGGTCCAGTTTCCAGGTCTGATCCCAATTTGCCCTTCTACTACCTACAGTTCATTGAGGATTCATTCCAAAGCCTGTTGAAGATGGCAGAAAGACACCTCTAAGTATCGAGTCAAAGTCTCTCTGACCATCACCTGTAAAGTGAGGGGTGGTAATGCTGCTATCCTCCCACCTTCTAATTTGGGCACATCTATCTTGTGCACTACAATACCATGTTAACTTTGAATAAGGAAATATGTGGTTCCACTGCCCAAGGCAGCAGCTGTGTCCTGGGAATGAACAACATTACTGTGTTGATGCAGCGTAACACTTCCACTGTCAAAGAGAGAAAGCTGTTCAGCTGGGGAGCCAGACCACACCACTCACACTGATGTCATCACAAGCTCTTTTAGAGCTGCTTGAATATCTCTGTTGCATTCTGCAGACATGTTTTTCCTGTTTAAAAAGTAAGCTCTTCAGAACAAGGACAGTTTCTTGGTGCAAGTATACTTGTGTATGTATATGTGTCTCATGCCAGGAATGTTATCTGCGCTTAAAAGATAATCTGAGTCAGTGAAGATACTTCAACTTGGTGTGCAAGTTAATACACTTGCATACCATAATAAGGAAGATGTCCCAGCAATTATCATATGGGATTGGGAGCAGGACTGCTCATCTGTATTATTGTGTCTAGCACCTAATGAGTTATTTTAGGCATATACTATGGCTTTTAGATCCTCTATTTATCTTTCAGCTTTTGATAAAATGGATCTAATAACCCTTGCTGTAGAAGAATTTTGTGATAAAAAGTGATTGCTTTCTAAAGTGCTTTGAGAGCCTGGAGAAAGGTATTAGTGTAACTAGTACATAAATATTTATATCTAACCTAGGAATTATATTTAAATACAATTTAAACCTCATTGGGATTTTCTTTTTTTTAGGATCATCAATCTGTGGTATGTATTGGGCAATGTATTAGTTTAAGAAATGAAAAGGGTCTCTGGTGCTTCTTCTTCGGGGCTTTTTCAGCTCACTTGCAAAATGCTTTTCTCTTTCAGATGAAGATTCTGATTCATACTCTCCTCGTTATTCCTATTCTGAAGACAGTAAGTCATTCACATTTCTTGTGTAATCTGTCAAACAGAAAAGTCATGTTAATCATGTATTTATTTGCCTCCTATCCAGTTCACCAATATTCCTGTATTTGACTTATCCTACAGGCAGAACCCAGCTTTCAGTTCCCCGTTCCAAGAGTGAGACAGACAATATTGATTCAGAGAAGGTTGTTAAGAGGTCTGCCACTCTGCCACTGCCAAACCGTACTTCGTCACTGAAAACAAGCCCGGAAAGGTGACCTGAACCTAAGATATACTTGGATTAGTACTGAAATAACCTCTGAAAGCTGTGAATGGGAAGGGAACAAAGGTGGAAGCTTTAGATCCACAACTTCAGTTAAACTATTTTTTTTGGGGAAGTGTAGATGTAGTTTTGACTATGACTCTTCTACCAGGCCACAGTGAACTCCTTCGTTGTCACAGCCCAGTCCCCCATTTTGTCTATTTTTTATGAGTCATCACGCAGTCTGTTGCATAGTTTCCTGCCTGGTTGAGGAGTGTTCTCCTGGGTGTCATGCCTATACAGTGCCTACCACAGAGGCACAGTGGAAACACTTGGCTCAGTGTGACAGTGTAAAGGCACCTCAGAATACAAATAAGTAGCAATAATTGTGGAGAAACAAAATTTGGATTTATGTTGGGCCTTGGTAAAAGTTTTGTTACATTTTCCATCTCTGAGGAGTTCCACCCGTATGAACTTTATTTGGAAGTAGGTTCTAGTTAGCAGTGTGATTTCTGATCTTTCAAGATGACTTCTCTCCTGGTTTTTTGCTTTGTTTATTACCATGTATTTTAAACCTCCTTGTAATAGTAATGAATGTGTTTACCAAATGAAGGGAAAGCTGAAAGAGCAATGAATATTTTATGTCCTGATAAATTCTCCGAGCTCTTGAACTGTTCCTGCCTCCATCACCAACTTCCACATGCTCTTAATGTTTTTCACTTGCTGTCTCAAATGAGCAATGTCATAATTTGAGATTGCTAATTCAGTGAGCATCTCAGGTCACCGGATCAGGTTTGCACAGGAATGGAAGGCATGGTACATTGGGCCCCTGAGAAAACTCTTGCAAGTGAAAGGATTACAATAATTAGTGCTTCCTAGTATTTAGTGACAAAACAGTTTCTCTGGGGCTGGAACCTTAAGCAATCAAGTTTCTTCTAGATAACAAAGATCAACCTTGTTGAAATTTTTACACTGTTTGTAGGTCAGTCATTTTGGCCTGTCACCTTGCCTTACTTTAAAAAAAAAAAAAAAAAAATTAGATTGGTTGTCTCTGTCTCTCCAAAGCCAGTGGAGAGAGTTAGGGCAACTCAGTGGGTTGTTCCTATCCTCAACCAGGTCAGTAGGGTAAGTGGGAGGAAATCTGGAGCAGCATTTTTTGTTCAGTGCCTCACTTTTGTTGGTGAATGCTAGGTGAGATCAATCCACGAACAACATTGCCCATCACAGGGAACATACCAAGAACAAGATCAGAATTAGTTTACCAGCTTAAATGGCCTGATTTCTGGGCTTTTTGGGGGTCATTGGTTATTCTACATCAGGTGTTTGAATACATTACTTTCCAGAGGAGCTGGACATTATAGGATATGGACCCTGAATGCTTTATGACTACTATTGTCTGAACTGTGCCAGTGTGGATACTGCACAAAATTATAGTGGTTTGGATAGTCAATGGACTGTTCTTAGCCATCTTTAGATATACCAGTCTGAGGTAATTTATTCATATCTCTAGAAAAGATCCCCTCTTGGACCCCAGATTGCTCCCAGAATCCAGAGCAGCAGTAGTCGCGTAATCAGTGATGTGGCTAAAATGAAGAAGTTTAGCAAAAGAGATTTAATTTGAGTTCTGCTCAAAGTTTGGACATGTTCATATTTGTGAGCTTAGCTGAAGCCCATCACTAAGCTATTTCATACAGAAAAGATATGTAAGTCTGGAAGTTTATTGAAAGTACTTGGAAGAAACACCCTCTGCTCCAATGGTTTCAGCAGCTGAGCTATATCAAACTCTACTTGCTATAGACAAACAAATATATGCCCTTATCTGAACTGTTTCTCTTGCAGCAGGCTCCTTTCTCGGATTAAAAAAAGTACCACCATTAGATCACGATTAACAGGGAAAGGCGCCTGTCAAAAGGAAGTGCTTGTCTCCATGGAAACCACTGTGTTTTGGATTAATTGATCTTTCTTTCCTCAGGACTGACTGGGAGCCTCCAGACAAGAAGGTGGACACCAGAAAATACCGTGCAGAGCCCAGGAGCATTTATGACTATCAGCCAGGAAAATCCTCAGTTCTGAACAATGAAAAGATGGTAATGTTTGTTTTATCCTAGTTTGTGACTTTATCCTGTGATTGTAAAATTCTCCCCAAGTGCTTCTCCAGTTCCATTCGGATAGGTTGCCTTATACTTACATTGCAGTGCTTGTGTGATGTATTTCCTGTATATTTTGTTTTGAAAACTATTTTGCATAACTTCCTAACATTTTTGTTCTCTATAAAGAAAGATCCAGGGGGATTGAGAGGCTTCTTTCCTTTTGGACGTGTTGTTTTCTGTGTTAAGTATGGATCACTAACCCTAGTTTTTAATCCATGTTTGACACTGTGACCTGTTCAGCAGCTGTTTTGCCAGCTGTACTTTTTCTAGGGCACAGCATTAGTTGATGCAGCAGAGTTGAAGGCATTATGCAACAAAGCAGGCTGGTTGAGTTTCTATGTTCCTCTGATGCTTTAAATACCAAATCACTAATTTTTAGAGTACCTGTAATGTGCCTGGGGGGATGACCCTGAGGTGCATTAGGACATGGCCATCTCACCTGCGCTGCTTTCTTCCTCAGCTGGATTTCACCGCTTCTGTGGCAGGGGGTGGCAGAACTGAATGTAGGCTGGCTCCCCAGCTACGCCAGTGTGTAACCTAGAGTAATAAGTGAGCTGTTACCACTTTCAGTTTGAATCTGTAAGTAATGCGGTGAATTGTGACAGCTAGGGGACATACAAAAGTCTTACTCTACAGGCTTGGCTGAGAACACTTGGCAAGGGACAGGACAGGGAGGTGGTGCTAACCTTGTCAGCCAGTCCTGCATAAATCACCACAGCTCACTTAAGGTGTCCATCAGTGGTACAAGTGTGACAATGTAAGTGCTAGAAAACACTAAATGAGATTAGTAGTGAATAGTTAGTTTGATACATAAAGATATAGTTGTTTTATATAGGTGTTAATTTGAAGGATTCAATTAGAAGGGCTAATTGCATGTGAGATTCCAAATGTAAACTCAACTTTGAGCCTTAATAGCTCAGGCATTGATCCATGCATGGAGTAGGTAAAGGAATGCTCCAGAAAAACCTACCAAGGATTTTACACAGGAGTGAACAGCAGTTTTAATCAATAGAAATGTAAAAATCAAGTCTGATCTGGGACCTGATATTTCTCCTTAGTGTTTTGGTAGGTTTCCTTTTTTTCCTTGCGAGTGCCATCAAGGTCCATCACTTTTTGAAGATCCTGCAACCAACTTCTTTTCACAGTGAAATTAATCTGTCCCTTCATTGACTTCAACAAAGTTACTCCTGGCAGGACCATGATCCTAGTGTCTATTGAAATGGGCGATGGATGGCTCAGTCCTACTGGGCATTGGCTCAGCCCATTAGAGAAGTGACAGTGAGGAGTGGTTTGAACATGGTATGACAGCTCGTGGCAGTTTTGGCTCACGGTAAACAGCCACGATTAAACCTTGTGGCAAAAGGCCTGCTTTCATATGTGTACTTAAGCCTTTTTGAAAGGTCTGTCATCACCAGTGGCACTGTTTACATGTTCAGACTTCATCAGGTACTTAATTGAGCTGTCGAATTGGAGTTTAAAAGACACAAGCAGGAACATCATCAGCATAATTGAGAAAATTGTATGGAGCTCACCAAAGACAAGAAGAATGTGATAGCTGTGTTACTTTGAGGATTAATTTTTGAGCTTTAATTTCAAGCCATAGATCACAGAAGAAAGAAGGTCTTGAAAGAGGAGCTTCATGGTCTCTATCAGTCTCATAAAATACAACAGTAATACAATGGTTAGCAACTAGATCTTTCAAGGAGGCTGCCAGAGATTTGTGGATATCTCCTGGTAGTCACACCTAGAGCTGTGACTATCAGAATCCCAATCAAAACCATTTCAGAGCAGTGAAGAGCACCTCCCGTTGATGTCAGTGGGCTTTTTTTTTAATGTAAAGGAAGTTACATAACAGGATGGGTACTTTTAATTGGAGTGCATTAAAGAAAAAATGGAAGCATTGCTTCCATTGTGCCTTTAAGAAATAGTCAGATCTTCCTCCAGGCCACTAGAGATCAAACATGATGTAACCAATATTTTTTTCAGATTGAAGAGTTGCCCCTCTTTCCACATCAATCCTGAGCTCTTGTCCTAGGGGTTTTTTTGTGATGCCTAGTGGATGTGACAGTTTGGGACATCTAGCAAAGCCCAGCACTGTTGGGAACTCACCTCTGCCTTAGTAACCCCATCACAGGCGGATTTGAATCAGGACGCTTTATGTTGGCCCTCTCTACATGTGTGTGGCTCATTGCTTGTGATGAAGCACTTGGGATCACACTGGCATATCAGTCATAATGTATTTATATCTTTAACGCACTGAGATCCATTACATGTAAGACTAGGTACACTGAAATGCAAGAGTTAGCTAAATGTCTTTTGGGGAGTGGCACCTCATAACGCTCAGCAATGGACTTTATTCTCGTATCTCAACAGTAGTTTTTTAAACAGCTACAACTATTTCAACTTTTTTTGTTACATTAAAAGAGATTGTATGAACAAAAGTGAATTTCCTTTTCAACTGTACTGTTTTCTGTCCTGTCTGGTTTTCCTTTGTTATAGTTTTGTCTGATTCTCTAACATTATTTGTGAAGAAATAAGTAATATTGTGTCTCTATCCATCCCTTCAGAGATCTTTCAGGGATGTGCTCTCTCTGACTTGTGTCTCCTTCGATTTAGAAAACCACCTTCCATTCTATTTGCAGTGTGTAGAACAGGGTTTCTCACATATTCATGTGCTGTTAAAGATGCAGTATTTGGTTCAAGTCTCAATGAATCTCTCTTTTTAACCAAATAAAGATTAAAAGATTTTTTTAAAGAACATGCAGCTTTGGACTCGATGGGAGTATCTGACAGTAGGATTGAGGGACTAGTTGACTCCCAGCTCTTCCATTGAGTCTCCCTGTGACTCTGGGCAAGCTGCATAATCTCTCTCTGTGTAGGTCTCCTGATCTGTAAAATGCAATTCATTCATATTCATGTTGCTCTCAATGATGACATTAGGCTTAACTGATGTTTGCAAAGCAGTTCATGGCCTTTGTGAGAGAGGTGCTGTCAAAATGCCAAATTATAAGGCTAAATATCTACATTTTAGAATGGAAACCATGGGATCTGCATCTCTAACAGCTCCTTTCCGTGTATTCTTTGCATAATGTTATCCTTCTCTTTCTTCCATTCCCCTATCACCAACTCCTTTAGACTCGGGATATAAGCCCAGAAGAGATAGATTTAAAGAATGAACCTTGGTATAAATTCTTTTCGGAATTGGAGTTTGGGAAACCGGTAAGTTTGATAGTTCGATGACCAATGAAGTCAACCTGCCTTTTTTTTTTTCCCCAATGATTTTCACATCACTTTGCTAGGCCCTAAACCTGGAACAGCTGCCTTACTCATTTAAAAATGTGATTGTTCATAACATCATCCTGGTACTGATGTAAAGCAGCTGTTCTGTGACCAAGTATTTGGAAGCCATTTACAAACATTCCCCACAAGAAGGCAATATTTTTTCACACACCATAGTTCAAACTGCATTTTTGTTGTTAACATTAAAAGTAATGCCCTGTTCTCATTATTGAAAGTCCATATTCAAAGCCCTTATTCTCCCTCTGCATAACAAGATTTAGAATGGCTGATAGGTAGCTTTAAGTCAAGAAGAATCACTCATTTATTCCTGGCCTTGGCTTCTAAAATGTAGGTCAGTAATTTCCAGCTGTCCATAAATAGATCATGACCCTGTTTCCTGCTTGTTTCCTTATGCATGTAACTGCCCATTGCCTAAATGGGGTGCATCAGTCTGTTGAATAGACCTTGCCATTCTCTGAAACCAAAGAAATCTGAGAATAGTGTGCTTTCTTTTCAAATGGAGCTGTGTTGCTGTGTGTGGGGAAAAAAAAAAAAAAAAAAAAAAAAAAAAAAAAAAAAAGCCTTGATTTCCCACTCTGGAAAAAGATGATGCAAAGCTTAATTATTCAATAGAACAAAGGACATTCTGATGGAGGGAACATATCAGTGGTCATGGCTACTGGAAAAAAATGTGACTTTAAAGCATTTTATGGCCTGGTTCTTACTAATTAAACACTATTTACTTCATTATTAAATACTGTTTAATAAGCTACTCTTACTGCACTAGGTCAGTATCAGCCTCTCACAGCTATTCAAGTATAGTGGTTGTTTCTCCTTTCACCTTGAGGTCAGTTGTCAAATGCCCATGCACACCATTTTTGAGTGCTGCTGAGATTTCCCTGCATGTACAACAAAACAGAAATATGTTTTAAGGTTCAGTACTGGCTTCAAAAGCAACTGCACGTGGACACCAGAGAGAGGTTTTCTTCAAATGTAGTCTTTGTTCTCACAGAAGTGACAAAATTCCTGTGCACAGAATGTAGCTGCCTAAGGTTGGGTGCCTAGTCTGATCACATCATAGAAATAGTGTAATTTTTGCTGAAAACCAAACATGTACAGCGGCTGGGTAGTCCATTCTGTCATAGAAAACTATGATTTATAGCTGTGGACCTTCTATCATAAGCTAAAGAAGGAGCTTCAACAGTGTTTGAGATGAGACCCCCTAACTTTTAGACAGTAGAAGTCAGGTGAATCCCACCTCCCACCTCACTGAGACTTTTAAGTGATGTCAGTATACAGATTTAACCCTTCCTCAGTTGTCATGGTTTAAGATTTCCACAAAGTGAGAAGAAGCCTGCTTCTCTTTGCTGCCATGTAATTAATAGCCATATACTCTTGCAATGAATAAAGGTTTGTCATCTCTATGATCCTTTGAGTTAGACTAAGTTAATGGAAAATTGACAGAGAAAGGGGAACATTTATGCCCTTGAGACTTTCTAGAAGTGAGGGTGTATCTGTTTCTTAGAAGTGTACATTTGTGCTTTTAGTCATGCAGCTTTGGCCTTACTTCAGAAGAAGGCATATCAGGCTACACCAGCAATCCATCTCTTGTTAAGCAGAGCATCTGTTCTGGTGACAATTTCCCCACCTTGCTCAGGGCACTGTTATTATGGGCTGCTTTCTTACAGCTTGCCTTGTAATGATATCCCATGTCAACTTGCTCTAGCTCTGAAGCCATGCAACCATGCTCCTTGATAGACTATGCCAGCCCTGAATGTGGTACTTTGTACACAGTGCTTCGGCATCAGGCACTTGAACTGAGGATGCCATCTCAGACTTTTACAGCTAGCAAAGCTCCCTCTGAGCTTCATCACCACAGGCAAGAGTGTGCTTTTTGTAGGTTTGCTTACTCTGGTCATAAGAAGACAAGATTTCTATGACAAGCTAGTGGCTAAGCCTCATGTCTAACCAGAGAGTTTCAAGGGACGTTTGCTAGTGCCTGGCATTTTCAAAGATTCTCTGTTTGTCCCAGCTTTTTTTTCCAGTGCTAGAGATAATGTGTACTTCTACAGGCATGATTTCCTCTGGCTTTCTGACTTTATTCGCAGCTATGTGATGTGGGCAGGAAACACCCTTGGTAAGAGGGAGCACAGGATTCTTGTGAACCTGTGGGTGTTGCTCTCCAAAGAAACCAGAATGACCAGGATGGAGCTTTCCCCAGTGAGGAAAGCACATGTGCTTCCTAGGCAGCTGAAGTGACACTTTGCTGGACCAGCATCCTGGATGCATTTCTGGGCAGCTCTGTAGACAGGCACATGCCCTGCAAGAGAGGTAGATCAGTCTTTGTAACATGGATGCTTTTTTAGTGTGCTGCTGAGACCTAGTTCCCACACGCTCGCTTATGCCTTCCTCCTGATCCATGGCTCCACAGCTCTATGGAGCCCATCCGTAAAAGTTGACATTTGGCCACTCTAGAGCTCGGTTGTCTTCCACTGTGATTGTGGGATCACACACATGAGCACTTTCTCCTAGACCTTCCCAAGACAGCACTGAGTAAGCTTTTTGATATAAATGGAGAAGCAGGGGGCTGGAAAAAAGGGTGCGTGTCCTGCCTTCTCACCTCCTTCCCTCCAGTTCCTTCCTCCAAATCTCAAACCTAAATCTTTGCAACACCACCTGCCCCCCTGCAGCTGCTGATCTGATGGATAAGAAATAGGTATTTAGTGTTTGCATTCACACAGTGTCTGTCCGATGGTAAAGTGGGACAGATTCAAACTGCAGATCCAGGTGGTCTAGAAAGGACTTTGGACGAAGACCCAAGTGTTGTAGCTCGGTCTCACCTTTGATAGAGTGCCACTTGGAGATTCCCTGTCAGTGACTCAGAAGCACTTTAATAATCTAGTCATAGGTACCAGTATGGACATTGTCATGGTTTGAGCCTGGTTGGCAACCAACCACCGCAGCCGGTCACCTTCCCTTCCCCTTCCTCGCCTGGGAATGGGGGAGGGGATTAGAGGGGTGAAGGGAGACTCACAGGCTGAGATAGGAACAGTTTAATAATGGCAATAAAACGAGAATGATGATATGGAGAAAACAAAAAGGAATATATAAACAGGCAGTGCACAATGTAATTGCTTACGACCCGCTGACCAATCCCCAGCCCGTTCCCGGCCAGCGACCACGAAATACCAAGATCCCGCAATTGCAATCCCGGAAGCAAGAGAGCTCCTTCCCAACCACCCCTCCTCTATATAGTGAGCACGACGTTCCATGATTTGGAATATTTCATTGGCCAATTTGGGTCTGGTGCTGTGGCCGTGCTCCCTCCCTGCTCCCTGTGCCCTTGCGCACGGGCAGGACATGGGGAGTCGGAGAGTCCTTGAAGTCTCGGTAGCAGCTGAAAACATCAGTGTGCTATCAGCATTCTTCTCATACCAAACCCAAAGCTAAATCCAAAACACAGCACTCATCTAGTCCCCAAAAAGGAATATTAACTCTATTTCAGCCCAAACCAGGACAAACATGTAGGAAGATGCTAAGCTTGCTAGCCAACAGAAGTTATTTTTGTTTGGAAACAGAGCAAATGTATTCTGACTTCACAAAACAAGAACAAAGTCTCTTTGAGAATATCAGTGAGAGGTGTATATCTGGTGAAATGGGAATATTAGCATGGCATTATTGTGATAGGAGTGTCAGGATGAAGGTCTTTCACTTTGAATAATCCTTCCTGATATTTACATGTGCATCCAAACAGGAACGTCCTGTTCTGAAACTAGTGCCTTCGCCTATAGGATGAATTTTAAATACCTAGTTCCCAAACTTTCATGTGTCCCATTCTCTCCACCACAAACCCCCACAAACTAACCCCTTAACCAGTGAAATAAAAAATAACAACTCTGCATTCTCATTGCCCCACAATGCCACCACTGGAAATTCAGCCATTTGTTCACATGGTATGTATTCATAGTCTGATGTGGGTGGGAAAGATTCTCCCTTTTCATTATCAAAGGCCCTTGTTTTACCCTTTCCTTTTGAAAAGAAGAATGAGCAAAACAAATGCTTTTTATGACTGTGTGTTTTTTCCCCATTTTGTTTTGTTTTTGTGTTAAGAATGCTTTAACCACCAGCTGTGGGCTCCCTCTACAGAGTCCAAAATCCTTTAGAGCACCTTGAAAAAATAAAAATTTCCTCAAACACTACTGAAAACAGCCCCTCCCAGACTGCATGTAAGCTCCCTTTTGCCTCCTGTGATCTCTTGATATTTGTGCTATAGCAGATTTATCCCTCTTTCTGTCTCTCTCTCTCTCTCTCTGTTGTGTTTGGTTTTATTTTAATTTCTTTTCAGTGTTGATGCAAATCCCCTATTGTATTCCCCCTCTGTTCTAATCCAGTTTCCATATTCTCTGTGATGTCTTTCCTTATCTTCATTTCCTCATTTCCTTCCTCTGCTTTCCATCAGCCTCCAAAAAAGATTTGGGATTATACTCCTGGAGATTGCTCTATCCTTACTAGAGAGGATAGAAAGGTAATTGTGTCTCACGTACGTTATACTACAGCATCTAGTGCGTATGTATGTGTGTATATGATTTTTTTCTTTTTTGTAGCATTGCTTGGGTTTTGTGTGCTTGTGAGTGATTTTTTTTTTAATTGGGCTTGAGCTCATTAGCCTAACAATTAAGTAGCTAGTAAATTGATTTAATAAACAATGCCTAAAGCATAATCAGCCATAATTTAGAGTGGTGGTTTTGCTATCTTGACTTGCAATTATAATTATACTAACAGCATATTACATATTGTTACAGTATCTTTTTTTTTTTTTTACAGGTGGGTTTTATAACTTTATGGTTTGTAGAATTAGATTCTAGCAGGCCTGTGCATCTCTTAATTTTCAATGTTAAATGCCTAAGACTATTTCCTCTGTAATGATTGAAACATGATTAATTACTAGTGAATTTCTGTGTATTGTCCATACCATCCTTGTCTTTTTAGATTAAAAAGGCTCGCTTTTTTTTTTTTTTTTCAAAATTAACATTCCTTTGGTTTCCCCTAACCCTAAGCATTATTTTCCCATTCTTCTTCTCCTTCTTTAACCAGACTGATCTAGAAAAAGACCTCTACCTCTACCAGACTGAGTTAGAGGCAGATTTAGAAAAAATGGAGAAGCTTTATAAAGCGCCACATAAAAAGCCACATAAGGTATTTCCTATTCTTTTAATGCTGCCAATCCCTGTTTCCAAACTCTCTGCTCTAATCTATTCACTGCTGGATGATTATTAAATGAGGTTGGGATAAATAATGGTTCTGACCGTTCTGACTGCATGGCTTGCTGTGTCGCTGTCAGAAGTAATAGAACATGATGCTGAGAATCCGGCTTGAAATCCATTTCAGATACAGTGATTTCCTCTCTCCCTCATTCCCTTTCAGCTGCCCCCCACCCCGGTCCCCCTTTAGGGTTTTGAGTTCAGTGTCTGCAAAAAAACCCTCTCTATTTTTCACATGAATAGGCAGCAGCAATCAGCTTAAAATTCTTGGTTGGCGTCACGTCATCATCTCGTGCCTTTCAAGCGTGTTGCCATCTACCCTCCCTTCATACAAGCCCTGCTCTCCGCTAGGAGCTCACGCCTACCCAAGATTTGGATATTCTCAAGAGATTTTACACAATTTTTCTTAGCTACACCTTGCCATGGCCTTCTAGGGCAGGTCAGCTGCTGCTGCTGTTTGAAGGGTCTGCAGGACCCGAACCACGAAATGATAGGTTAATTTGGTAACACGCCATTTTTTCTATTTTTTTCTATTGATTTTTTTTGAAGCTGCAGCATTTCACCAGGACTTAAAAAAGCTGCTTTTTTGATCCCAAGATTTGCTTTTTCTTCCTGCATATGAATCCTCAGATAGATGAGGGGACACCAAATAGAGCATTTCTTCTAAAATTGCCTTAAATTTTTTAAATAATGTGCCTAGGAAGTGTTAGATGGATTTAAAGCAAGCGGATAAGACCTGGCTTTTGCTATTGAACCTGTGCAGCTGGCATCGCTTCTCTTAAGTAAGGAAACTGAACTGAAACATTGCTTTTCTTGTTAGTGCTTTGATATTTTTTTGAATGCTGAGGAATGTACTGTGCTGCAGAAATGTAATATACCTTTAAAGCGAAGGCGGGCAGTGACTGGTTGGGAAAAAGCTTGGGGAAATAATTATGAGCATGTGTCTCCTGGTCATGGCCCAGCTGGTTATCTCTTCTTGCTTTTGGCTTTATTCACAATGACTCATTTGCAGACAAAAGAATAGGCTCTGTGAAAAAGCATCGGCTGTGCTAAAAACCTGTCACTGCCCTGAAGGAACTCAGGAAAATTGTTGCTTTTCTGCAAATACATTGACAGCTTAAATTGCATTTAGACTTAAACCGCAATGTCTCCTAAAGGCTAATATTCAAGCAATAGGTGGAAAATTATTTAAACAAGCCTTTTTCTTTCTCCTTATGTGTAAGTGTGTATCAATGATTCCTTTGTTTGGACTTTTGCAGAATACAGCAGGTGTTACTCCTCTGGAAACTTCCACAGACCATTCTTCCTAGTAAGTTTTCCAATTGGTCTTTGATGTCTTTCTTACAACCTGAGGGCATGTAGGACAGGGTTTTGGGCGTTGGAAATGGGTTGGCTTTATTTTCTGGTGATTGATACAGACAAATGCATGTACCATGAAAATTATGCACATGCTTTAGATGAGTCCTGATACAACATCTGCTATTTGGTCTTTAATTTTGAAGTTATTACATGAGTGATTGCATTGTCTAGATAAGAATTGCTGATTGTGCTAGGCAGTGACCCTAAAAAAAAAAAAAAAAAAGATCAAAACCAAACCTTTATCTCCCATCTTGATGAAGTTTGCAAGTTGACTGTAACTTCATTACAGTATCTTTATTGTGTGGAATAAAAAAAGTTTGTTTCTGTTACACATGTATGATAGATTGACGCCTGTTAGATATTCCCAGTTATGCTCACCAGGTCAGAAGGATGCTGTTGATTGAAGGTAATAATTTTCCAGCTTCCAGGAAGGGAACAGTGGTAGCAGTAATGATATTTCTTAAAGATGTAATGTGGCACTGCCTTTTCAGAGGAATACATGATAAACAGTATATTCTGTCTAAATAAGCTGTACACGGAGCTGATTTGTTTTAAAAGAGGAACACAAAAATATCAATCCAGAGGAAGCTGTGCTGAGTTACTCAAGCTGTGGAGCCAGCTCCTAACTGCGAACCTGCTGCTCCTTGTAATTGGACTGAGTGCTTAACATTGTCTGCAGGCACAGTGATCCCCCCTGTGTGAATAGTTTGTTAGGAAAAGCATGTTCTTCTCCAGATGCCCATTAATATCACATGTGTTCACCACCCCTCTGGGGCTGCCTTAGAGGTCTCCTAGACTTCCTTCAACTCAGTTCCCTTCTGTCTGTGTTCATTCCATTCTGCTGGGAAACTTGCACACTGCTGCATTTTGTTGGTTGCTCCTATAACTGTTTAGTTTTGTTTTGATAGGGAGAAAGCAATAAAATAAATGGAAATGTCAGAGATTAGCATAAATAGCTTATATTTGCCAAAGACTGGTTAGGTTTCTGCCCACAGCAGCACTGTCTGTGCCCCTTCTGACGCCACCCAAAGCATGCAGGAGTGTCAGTGGGTGAGCCAGTGGAGGGGAAGCAAGCAACCTGGTTAGGCTGGGAATAGGACACAACAGCAAGCCCCAGTGGAGTCGCACATTCTTCCCTGCCCTGCCTTTAGAGAGCAAGGAGAAAAGATCCCTGGAGTTTAAGATCTCTTTTGCAGTGTCGATCTTCCCTGCCTTCACCTGATTCTGATTTTGCAGACTACTTTGGCCCTAATAAGGGAGCAACTGATAAAGGGACTCTGCCAAATGCCTCCTCTGCACCACCCCCCCAACCCCTCCACCCCCCTCCCACCTTTTAGCTGAGGAACCTCAGGGCAGTCATTTATTCCCTGCAGCAACTGGCCGGGCTTCATTGGCAACCTGACGAAGAGTCACTGGGACACTAGAGCTATGTAGCTGTGGGTCTGTTTGAACATTGCCTAGGCTGAAAAAGTGTCAGTGTTCCCTTTCTCTTTCATGGTGCTTTTCACAAGCTTTTACTTCAGAAAGTAATTTATGGGACTGCATATGACCTGGTTTTCCTTGTTTGGAAACTAAAATCTTTGTGATCCAAACATTGTGTGATTCCACCTCCATAGCCAGTCCTCTGACATGTTTGAAAGCTTTCTCTTTACCCTGTAAGTACAGCGTCTACCCAAAATAAACAGATGCATGTACAAATTTATCCACAAGAAGCAGACATAACCACAAGTATTTCCATACTAACATAAATTTGAATCACTCCTGGACATCAGGATGTAAGCCAGCTTTCAAAATGTTTCCATGAATTGGCAAATACCCTATTTTTTTCACTTTTTCAAACTTTCCAGCAGTCATGCTTTGGCCCCAGAATAGCTTTTTGTGAGACTCCCTCTTATTCTGAAGAACTTGGTTGAGCACAAGAACTGGTATCAGATGAGCTTAGCTTTTAGGAAAACATTGTCTGCCTGATTGCTCAGTAAGTCTTATGTACCTGGAAAGGCCATTTATACCATGGCATTGTTGGTTATTTTTTTAGAGAGAAAAGTGTGAAATCTAGAAATCAGATGTGGGGGCATACTTATGCTTAGATTCACGACTGAGGAAAGGGATTTGTAATAAATGTCCAGTCTTTAAAAGCCTAAGAAATTAAATTTGTACTCATTTTAACAGCATTTTGTTTATATATCTGCATGGTACAAAGTTGAGAAATTGCTCTGGGAGTCTTGAACTATAGTGTTAACCGGGGGGCTGAACTGGTTGAGATGAACTCCAAGCAGCTGTGCTTTGTAAACAGGGGACAAGCATAGCTAATATTTAAGGAGAGAGGACTGGGAGCTGGAAGATATTTGTGCTACTTCCAGCTAGCCAATTAATTTCTTCATGTCTGCAAAGAAATCGTGCATCTGCTCTGTGACTCTGTTGTCTCATCTGTAAATAAAGCAGGAGTGCTTTCCTGCCACCTGTTTTCTGGGGAACTGAGCTTGGGAGAGTTCCTTCAGGTAGGCAATGATGTGGTAGTGCCAAACCTAGAACATTATCTCAGTGTACTCATAACCTCTCCATTCAGCACCAGGTCTTCATACAGTCTATTCTGTGTTCAAAAGCGTGGTTTTCTCTTACTTTGCTTGAAGGTCTCAGCAAACAGAAGTGACTCACTGGTGTCCCTCCCCCTTTTTTGTGTTTTCCAGCTCCACATATTCACCCAACTACCATACAGTGAAGAGGGAGTCAGAACCAGCACTGGTGGACTCTGCTGCCTTAGAGAATGAAAGGCAGATTTACAAGAGCGTGCTGGAAGGTGGAGATATCCCATTCCAGGGTTTGAGTGGTCTCAAGCGACCTTCTAGCTCTGCTTCCACAAAAGGTAGGTGGTCAGGGCACTAACCTCTTCTCCATTTTGCACAGACTGTCAAAAGCCAGGTGATATGAGGCAACCTGCTACAGGGTTTAGAGTCCTATTCAAGCCAGCTGAGGTTTCCTCTGTCTTTCCTCTTTGCCATCCCTAGTTTTCCCTCCTTTTTTCTCTCAGCCCACACTGGCCAGTACTTTTCATGGCCCCTTTACCTGATCCAGGTTCCTCTTGCCAACAGGGACCAGCTCCCTCCATCAGCACCTTGGTCAGGCCCCATGCCCTCGTGTTCTTCCTGGAGGCTGCTCAGGCTGGCCTTGCTACCCATCCGCTCCCACTGTCTTGCCATGCTAGAACCCTTCCCTGCCTTTTCTGTTCTTCCTGCTGCAGTATCTCAGCAGGCCACACCATGTCTGCTGGCCTGGCTACCCTGGTGTAGCTGGTGCGGTGCACTCCATAGCCTCCTGCCTGCAAAGGGTGTGCAGAGAATGCATGGGACACTGCAAACCAGCAATGCCCTGCAGGCTCTGAGACAAGAGACAGCAGAGACCAATGCATCTCCTCCCCCTTCCTCCCCGCATGGTGGGCTCTCTAGAAGGTTAGGACAAGGAAGAGCCTGACTCCCATCAGGGAGTTGCATTGGGGAATGTATCTCTGAGCCAACTTCAACCTAAAAATGGCTTGAGATGGGGAGAGGACTTGGGGAAGGAATGCATTGGATTTCTGAACTGCTCTGCCTAAAAATAGTACATCACACCAAAAAGGTCTCTCTCTGTGTCTTCCAGCTGTTTTTCAGCATTGTCAGGTCTGTGAGGCAGAGAGTCAAATTGGATCTGAACAAAAAAAATCTGTTCAAACAGTTATTGCTCCCCTAACTGCAATTGAACCTGAATGGTTATTCTGACATTTGAATTTGAGCTCAAATCGGAAACAGACCTGAAAACTGCAGTCTAAGCTGAACCCAGACTGGATCTGACTTTAAAAAAAAAAACCACCATAATGTCCTGATCTGACTCTTTGATTTTTAAAGCAAACATGGCCAGCCTCATTGTCTGAATCACACTCAGCTTATTCCTAGGATGGGGAATCTCTAAGCAGTCAGCTCTTGGGCAAGGCCAGCTGATGTGGCCTGCTTGTGCTAGCACAATCAGCCACTGATTGTCTTCTCCCTCCCAGAAATAAACTGTTTGGCAAGCACTGTGGTGAGACTACAGTAGGTGTGATTGCAGGCTTGTTATTAAGCCATTTTTGCAATGTAAGTGCCTCTGCATTCTTGCTGACACCCTGATCCTGCCCAGACTTCAGCTGCCCTTTTCCATGATGCCACAGCTTCCCTGGAAGCTGATGACGCTTAGCACTTTTTAGGAGGGTACCTCCAAAGTGCTCCAGATCTGCTTCTGGCCACGCCTATCATTTTAGAGATGTTAGCAACACTTCACCTACTCCCGTAAGCGCGGCTTGTTGTGCAGTTTCTTCCTGCTTTTCTTTATGTTTTAGAACTTTATTTCTTTAAAGTGCATTTTATGAAATCCAAGCATGTTCTTTCTCCTTTCTCAATAGCTTTCTAGCACTTAAGCTAACAGGTTGTATTTATTTTATTCTGCATGCTTACCAGTGGATCGTAAAGGTGGGAATGCTCATATGACTGCACCCTCTTCAGTTAATAGCCGAACCTTTAACGCTAGTCATACCGGTATGTTAGGTCACGCATGTAAACATAAGAAGCCCTTATCAGCTGCAAAAGCCTGCATTACTGAAATCCTCCCTTCTAAATTCAAACCCAAACTAGCAGCTCCACCTGCTCTTGTGCAGGACAAGAAGGGTATCTTGCTGTCTCATGAGAAAGCTCAAAGCTGCGAAAACCTTCGTAGCTCCATTGCCTTGTTCGATAATAAAAAAGCTTTCATGGTAGACATAGGGGAAAGCATAGAAAACATGTTGATGAAGTCGAAGCAGGAGTATGCCATCAAATCCGGCAGTACCATGAGCCTGCAGGAGTATGGCACCAACTCTAGGAAAGGCTACCTGTTCCCTGCCTCCAGGAAGAGTGGGATGGAGTTTTCAATGCTCTATAAAGACATGCACCAGATCAACCGCTCCAGGATCCATTTGGGCACAGTCTCCTCCTGCAGTGTGAGGGATATTGCATCTCAGTTTGAGAATGAAGCAAAGGACAGGCTGGAGCACAGCCTTAGTCGAGAGGATTCAGAGCAAATCCCCAAACACACCGTTTCCTCCCGTATCAGTGCCTTTGAGCAGCTGATCCAGAGATCCCGATCAATGCCCTCCCTTGACTTTTCCACTGGGCAAAACAAATTCACCACTTCTCTCCAGTCTAAAACTTGTCTGAGTTCTGCCTACTCTGCAGAGTTTCTTCTGGATTTGCCAAAAGCACAGCAAGAAGAGAAGGATGCTGCCAGCTTGGCAGATAAATCCTCCCGCTCCTGCAGCAACGTGGAGGACACTGCTTCAGATGTCAGTGATGCTATTCCTATGGACACACTTTCAGCTTGCATGGATGAGGTAGATCTCCTGTCAAATGCATCCAATGACAGTGGCGGCAGCAGCAGCAATCTCAATGGGCCTCAGAAGCATAAAATCAACAGATGCAAAGGCGCATGCCCAGCTTCCTACACCAGGTTCACTACCATCCGAAGGCATGAGCAGCAGCAGGCCTCCAGGAACCCTGAATCCAAAGGGGATGTCTATGGGGACAGACACATGCTCCCCAGAAACGTCTACCTAATGAGCCCACTCCCCTTCCGATTGAAAAAGCCCTTCCAACACAAATCCTGCAGGACTTCTCCCCCAGACTGCCTGGGAAGCCTGGCAGTGCCCAGTCCTGAGAACCCAGATGACCCCATACAGCTGCAGGGGAGTGTAGGAGACAAGAGTCACCACTCCCAGCACCAACTGTGCTCCAGAAGCAGGCCTCTAGCCCCCAGGCGCCTGTCTTCCTTTGACATTGTGGAGAGGCTTAGCTACTTCCCCACCATGGGATCTGGCCAAGATAGCTTCATGGGCCGGGCTGACACTCCTGACTCCTTAAGCAATGGGAACCCTGTTCCATATGCCCTCTGTCACAGCCTGGACACAAACAACAATCCGCAAAGTGAACTTGGGACGTGCCTAGGAGGTGGCGTTTTGTGTTCTTTACCACTATCTCATCATCTGTCTTCTTGCTTCCTTTCTCCTCCCCTTTTCTTCCACAACCCTTGCATTTTTACTCCCCACCTTTGCATCCCCTGACTCTCTCTGTTTTTTACCCTAGTGTGTCTAATGTCCTTTGCGTGTCTTGCTGAGCATTTTTGTTCAGGACTTGTTAACAGCTGCACTTCTGAGAAACGATTTCTGCTGCCTTTCTAATCACATCGGGTTCAGTTTGTCTCTCAAGCAACTCCAGGGATGCAAGAATCTTAACATGAGATATTTCTAGTCCTATATCATTTTCACACATGGGAATATAAAACAAACCCATCTGATTTGCTTTAAGGAGCAGTTTCTCAAGGTCTAGTTGTGTGTGTGTGTGTGTGTGTGTGCACGCACGCGTGTGTGTTTGTGTGTGTATGAAATTTTTCTCAACAGTAAAATGCCAAATCATATTTTGATGGCAGCAAATCTTTTCTTCACAAAGTCCTTCTATGTCTCTACACTTTCCCCTGTTATTTTCTCCCTGGTTTTGGATCTGTGTTCACAAGTACAGTCCAAAAGGGAAAAAAATGAACATGGATAAATTACCAACATCTGATTGGCAATTTGGTCAACAACAATTGAGAATCCTTACTGTCATTACGAAAACAAATTGTTCAAAAATACCTATTTTTTTCCTTTCTGGTTATGCTAGATAAATCCAGATGTATTTTAACTTCCTTATGTTGTTTCGAAGTAGATTCAGAATCACCAAGGCATTTTGCACCAGTTGATTACATGGAAACTCCAGAAGAAATTATTCGCAGACGGCACGATGATAAAGAGGTAATGCCTTCCTTTATGGCCTAATAATGGTTGTAGCAGCTCCACATACAAGAAATACAGCATTTAGCCTTATATAAGGACAGCTTGTATGTCCATGGTTATGTATATTGGAAGTTAGAGCAGCAATCGGGAACTAGTGTGTTTTAATTTTGATACTACCTCTGTCACTGATTTAATGTATAATGTGTAGTCCAGTTTTGCTTTTGTTTAAAATGAACTTGATAGTTCTTATCAGTTGCACAAAGTTATATGTGGGGGCTTTAAGGAATGTAAAAAGGTTGGAGATGTATGTGAGATGTGGTACTATGACCCGGGACTCACAGATAAAGATTAAATTATTCTGTAAGTGAGTTAAGGTTTTATTCTTCTCTGAGCAAGCCACTTGAGTTGATATCAATCAAACTGGTGAGAATAGTATTTTTCTTGTGGGGGTCTTCAGGTTTTGATCAATGTAAGATATTTTAAGCTATCAGAAAGTGTGAAGTTTTCTCCCAGTGTGAACTAGAATTCTTTATGGTGTCTCAAGTTGTTGACAACAGAATGTAACAGTCCTTTTTGAAATGGCTGAGCAACACTGGGACAAACTGAAATAGTAGGAAAGCCACATAGACTTTTCAGCACTGACTGTATTCAAGCTGAGTTAAAGAAGTTATAAAGTGATTGTTTTCCAGGAAGTTGGAATTAATTTTCACTGCCTGGGGAAAAAGAAGTTACATTTTTAGTGTTAAATTTCTGAGTTCAAATAATGTTTATGTGTGCTTTGAAATATGGTGAAACCTGCTCTTATTTCCTATGTGAAAAATATATTTTTGCTGTCTTCTCCCATGAAACAGTTAGTAACTCCCCCTGTTTCCAAAATCCAGCATGAAAACTTGTGTAAGAGCAAAACTCTGAATTCACTAATAGCTGGCTTCAAATGAGTTAGCATGCAGCTGAACTTTCACCCTACAGTGAGCCCCAAAAGGTGAAAGAATCCTTCTGCCCAGGTACTTAAGAATGCACGTTTCCATCAGCGTGCCAGAGACTTCAGAAGTCCAAAATAATTATTTGGGGTTTATTTATTTTACAAAGTGTATTACGTGAGCCCAAAGGAAGTATGGGAGAACCTGATACCTGAAGGTGGTTAGGTGCTCTCCCAAGTTCCTTGTAAAGCTCAGGGGACTTTGGTGCCTCAGAACTTACGTGCGGGGCTGATTCAGGTCTCCTGGAAGTCAATGAGATAAACTCCTTGTTGATTGAAGGGGGTTTGGATCAGCCCTCTGCATTATCAGTAACCTTCTTAGAAGATCCCAGGACCTGGCCAAAACTTAGAAGAACTCCTCATTGACTTCCATCAGCTTTGGATCAGATCCTCTGTATGAGCTGGATTTCAGTTATGACATAATGATGATGTACCTTCTGTGCGTGCAAAATGAAAGGGTATTGTGTAGTTAGTAGAATCAGTATTTTATGTTGAACTGTAAAATCCCAGCTACTTGCTGGGATCTCAGAAATTTTATTTGTCACATTTATGGCAGCTTTTGAATGCCTTTAACTAGATGATTTACTGCCCATTTTATGCAATTTTATGGCAGAAACTTTTAGAGGACCAGAGACGGCTTAAACGTGAGCAAGAAGAAGCTGATATTGCAGCTAGAAGGCACACAGGGGTTATTCCAACGCACCATCAGTTTATCACTAATGAGCGATTTGGGGACCTCCTAAATGTAGACGATACAGCAAAGAGGAAATCTGGGTCAGAGGTCTGTTTTAGTTACCTCAGTCTGCTGCTTGACCCAAAGCAATATTTGCCTCTCACAATGTTGTGCTTTAAGCCGACATTAGCTCTTCAGAGAATGTCATTTTTTTTTTTTTTTCCCACCTTCCCCTTTCCCCTTCTGGCTTCATTTAGATCTGCTTTGACTCTTGTGCCTGGTAAATTAATTGATATCTCTATACCAAGCTGCATATGTTAAAGCATGCCTGCTGAGAATTGCTGGTGCACACCTGTGATGCATGCCTTTAAATATCAGCTACTTTAGTGAATCAAAGGCATTCTACATCTTTTGCATCATATTGCTACATTGTCTTCTTGTCTGTGCCTTATGCTTAGAAACTTCATGTCCTGTTGATCCTGGCCATGTGACTGTCTCATAGTGGTTTTTTTTTAGAAATAGATTGTTTCTTCTCCTCTCGAAAGATGCTTAATGTCTGTTAGAAACAACTGGAAAAAGTCTCAGCATGTTTCACTGTGTATGACCTGGTCAGTCTTTCTGAAAGAGACAAAGGAGGAGGTAGACAGTTTTCTTCTGAGCCCAAGGGACTTTTCCCAAGGGCTGGATGCTAGTCCAGGTGTCATGGCCAAATGCTTTTCCCTGCCTTAGGGACTGCTGGGACTCTTGGCAGTGGCTCTGTTTCCCCAGAGGTGCTGCACTGCAGTGGTGGGTGAGGTGGTCACCATGTGGATGGAGTACACTTCTCTGCCCTTTATGTCATTTCAAATGCTCTGATGCCACATGAATGCGACTATGTCTTATTTTATGCTCTATTATTGAAATTACTTTAAAATTGTCTGAATATTTTGTGGCTATTAGAAAATTGGCCAAGTAAATCAAGCGTTAAAGCCTAGGTCTGCTGTCAGTTAAGACATTTTTTAGACACTTGCCTAATTTATTCATATTTCCTCCTCACCTTTGTCTCTTTCCTACCAATTTATACGGAGTACATGAGTCACATTGCAGGATTCAGCAGGGCCAGGTAATAATCAGTAAGAGCCACGTAGAATAAAATCCTACTGATTTTTTCCCAGCTAGTAAATTTTGCTTTTCCATTCATATATCAAGGGAAATTTGGTCCCAGAGCCCCAGTATCTGTAGTTATTTGAGCAGCTTTCATTCAACAGGGTTTGTCACGTTTAAAAGTTTACTGCTGTTAAATCCATTTCCTGTAGAGATCTTAATTACTGTTATACCAGAAGTTGGCAATTTTTGCCCTGGTGAGAGACACCCATTCAGCATATTTGGACTGTAGCACCAGTTGCACATAAGCTTGTAGCAGAATACTTGCATTCAATTTCTTCCCCAGACTAATGTTAGTTATAGAAGAGTTTGGGTGCTTTTCCTCAGAAAAGGGTTGAAAACGTAATTATTACTTTAATGTGTTGATTTTTTTGATCTCTAGATGAGACCTGCTAGAGCCAAATTTGACTTTAAAGCACAGACGCTAAAGTGAGTACAGCTTGTTATTACTGCCTTGAATGTTCTTCCTCTGCTTTTTCCCTTAAGATGCAGCATTTATGAAGTGTTGTGCAATTGGATTCATAATTTGGGAGCATCATTCCAGCAGCAAAAAGCAATGGGTTCCCTAGTAAGGCAGGGAAAAGTAATATGAATCTTGCAGGTCCTAGCCTCTAAAGGACCTTTAGGAAAATGTCTTCTTCCTCAGTGCATCTGTACCTCATGTGATTTTTAGGGCAGACCTGCATTCTTTACTGGAACAAGTGAGTGCTCTGCTCTGAGGGTGGGTGGAGGCATGGGAGAACGCTCTGGTGGCTGTTCCTGCTTGCACCTTGTAAGGAGGAGGGCTGGGTGAGACCTTCTGGCAGCAGCTCTGTCACTGCCCTTGTGCTGTAGACAGAAGGGATTCCCCAGCCTGACACCCCTGGTTGTGCTACAATTTAGGAGCTGGGAGAGCTGTGCTAGTCAGTCACTATGTAAACCTGCCATACAGATGGTCAGAAGAACACAGATATGCCGAACAGCAGCATCCCTTTCACTGTGCTAAGCATAGCCCCAAGTCAGCAAGGGCCTTAAACAGATGCCTAGTTATAAGCATGTAGGTGAGCCCTTGACTTGGGAATTTCCTGATTCAGGATGTATAAGGGTGCAGAGTGGTCACTGCTCTCCTGGTACCTGTGGATATACCAGCAGATGTTTCTGGTGGTATTGTTGTACCTCCGAGCCCTGCTGTGGTCCCTCGAGTGAATCACACAGCAGTACTCATTCTTTTGGGGGAGCACTGCTGTGAAGAGAAGACCTGGAAGGCCCTTCCCTCTGCATGAGCCTGGAGAAATTCTCATTTTAACATTGCTAGGGAGAGAAGAAAGAATTTGTGAAGGACCTGCTGTTTTTCTTCTCAGGTGCTAGTGTCCTGGGAATATTTTGTTATATGTTCTATAGGTAATGATTTATAATGATTTACACAGCATCTCCCCAGCACCTGTAATAAAACTGAGGCAGATGTAAGGTGTAACTATTGTGTCCCTTGTGCAGAACATACGAGGTGCCAGAGAAAAGTAAAAGAGAGTTTGTGAAAATCACATTAGAAAAGACTGGGTTGTTTGTTTTCCTGTGGGGACCCAAGTAGGTTTATGAGCCTAGTACAAGCTGCCCACAGTGAGAGTTCCTCAAGTTGCAGACGTTCATAATTGCAGCACTGAAAACTGTAGATTGAAATCCCAATTGCTAGCCTAGGTGAGGTAAGTGGTTGCACAACCATAGGCAGACCAGAAGTGTTATCATTGTAGGATCAACACTGGTGTGTGAGGGAGTTCATCTAATTAACAAACTAGCTTCCATTAAAATCATGTGTCTCTTTGGAAGGCACTTGTGACATGACCTGTTTCAAAACAGGAACTAAGCACTGCTCGCTGTATCCAACGTGTAAAGCAGACAGTGGCATCTTTTGCTTGAGCTTGACACAGCTACTGCTGGAGTGTTTGTGATTAGTAGGGCCCTCAAAGGCCAGCTTTTTTTGACAGAATGCCCGAAAAGCAAGGGAGTCCCTGCACACCATGATATGAACAGGGTAATTTTCAACATGCAGCTTTCACTTTGGGTGGAACATGATTTATATCAACCAGGCTGATGCAGACCTTGATACTTAGGAATTTTTGGACAGAAAAGAACATGTCTGTTCTCCAGTGAAGTTTTGATGGAGTGCTTGTGTTGTTAACAGGGAACTTCCTCTGCAAAAAGGAGATATTGTTTACATTTACAAGCAGATTGACCAGAACTGGTATGAAGGTGAACACCATGGCAGAGTTGGCATCTTCCCACGATCATACATAGAGGTAGCTGCTGTCCTTGCAAGTGTTCTCTTTGCCCACTCCCTTTCTGCCAGAAACCAGTTTATGGGCTTTTTGTATGTGACTTATTTGATTCTCTTTGTTCATTCTAGCTCCTCCCACCAGCTGAGAAAGCTCAGCCCAAAAAGCCATCACCGTTGCAAGTATTGGAATATGGAGATGCTATTGCTAAATTCAACTTCAATGGGGATACCCAAGTGGAAATGTCCTTCAGAAAGGTAGGACTTTTGTTGTGCTGATGAATCCAGACAAATGCTGAAGTTTAACACTAGTAACTTGCAATTTCCAAATGAAAGCTCCAATAAGATGAACTCCATATTCAGGAAGGATTCCTTCTCATCACCCATGTTTTTACTCCATAGTCATTATGTAGTGCATTGCAGTGAGAGTGTTGCAGGTGGGCTGAATCAAGAAGTGTCAATTGCTTTCTTAGGGCTAGCTGAGAAGCCACTTTGAGCACAGGTGCTGGAAACCTGGCTCTGCACAGCAAATTAGATGTTTGGTGACACATTTCCAGTCTGATCCTCTCCAGTGGTGTTACAGAAGAGAAGGAAACTGGGTTTACCTTCCTTCATAATACAAGCCAAATCATTGAGCACAGGCAATCGAGGTTCTGTGGTATTGAAGTAATTGGCTAGACCAGACTGCAGTGTGAAGGGATAAGAGTGGGTTGTGTAATGGCTGTTCAGAGCAAAGTCAGCCATATTTAGATTAAGTAGCAGCATTTCTCCATCTCAAATGGCTTTCTGTTATGATGCTCAGATTAGATCTTGTCTGTCTTCTCTTTTGATTATACATGAAGGTCAGGCTTGCAGTTTATATTAAGGAACTGGAAGTCACTTCATTTGTCAGCAAAACAGGAAAGAGCAATAGAGACCCAATTTAAACTGCAGACCTCTGCATACTCCCTGTACACCCCATACCCCTGAGAGTCTTGTGGTCAGCCTGAAACTGCTGGTTTCAATTTTTTTTAACTGGCTTTAGCAAGTAGGGTCTTAAAAATATGAACATAACTGAGTCTGCAGACAGCCCAAGTCAGCACCAAAAGATCTGCATTTCTTCCTTCTCTGAACTAAAAAATATCACTCCCCCCCAGAGGTTAGGGTTATGACCATGTAACTGTGAAATAGGGGAGGCTGAGAGCCACTGATTGTTTTAAGTCAGCTGCAGCAAGATTAAAAATGTAATCTGCTTTGGAATGAGGAAATATATTAAAATCAGGACTACGTTACTATTCCTTCCCGTAGGGTGAAAGGATTACGTTGATTCGACGAGTGGATGAGAATTGGTATGAAGGAAGAATCTCTGGCACCAGTCGCCAAGGCATCTTCCCTGTCACTTACGTGGAGGTGCTCAAACGGCCAGTGGTCAAGAATGCCATTGACTATCCTGACCCACCAACGTCCCTCTCCCCTAACCGCAGCATGACAGCTTCACCACAGGTATTTGGACTACATGCAGCCAGTTACAGCACCTTGCAGAACAGAGGGTTGTTGCCATTGCTGTACAAGAAGCAATAGCTAAGAAAAGCTGTAGTTGACTAGTGTTTTGTGCAGTAGAAGCCATGTGCTTTCTGCAGTACGCTGCAACTGCAGGAAAAGGTGATGTTTCATTTACCAGAAGGGTTAATGAATGGGTCATTTGGGGATTTGGAGACTCAGCTTTTCATCTCTGATCTGTAGCTTGAATTCAGGCCAGGTTGAAAGGGCTACAGTTGACAGCCATCTGAATAAATTTCACTGCCAGAGATGGAATGAATTGGTGATCCACCTCCTCCTGAGTGCGTGTTTACACTTTACAGACCTCCACTGTGATGAGTGAATTTTTTATTATGACTATTAAAAAGGCATCACGGACTGTTATAGTCTGTAGGAGTCATTATGTTGATCCTAGTCAGCTTGAATCAAGCTGTATACTTACTCCTAAATGTTCCAGCTCATGACCAAGGTTTTGGGAGACAGGATCAGGAGATGAATTAACTCAGGTTTTTCGTGTAGGCCACTCTGGGATGCTCCATGAATATTAGATTCATTATAAACCATACTGCAGTTCAAACCAGAAATCAAAGTGGCAGTAGGTAGTTGTATGGGGATCCCAGAATGTTTGCCATGGAAAACGTATCAGGGAGGCAATGAGTCTCTAAACTCCATTGTTTTGCTCTCATCCTGCAAATACTCATGCTTGAAGGTCAGCATACATATCTGGGTCACGACCATGAGGTCCTGGTGCATCCCCCTTTCACCCACAGACTGAAGCAAGGTCATTCTGAGGTCAAGACTGCAAGGAACATAAGCAGAGAATTGGGACCAGGAGGAAGGGACATATGGTACAGGATGGATGGGCAAGGCTGCCATGGCTCATGCCTGGTGTCTATCTGAATCTTCCCTAAAAGGAGTGTTTTTATTCTTAGCCACCGTGTAGAAAGGAGAGACTTGTTGCTTGTTTGGGGTTCCCTGTCAAAGTGGACCTCAGCTAAGGTCTTCTGTATGAGTTTGGCAGTCTCTGCATAGCTGTGGCCTGTTTGTCACCAGCTCTCTGCAAGCTTCTCCCTTTGATGGAAGGGACCATATCTACCCTTTTTTTGTTTCCTCTGCTATTCTTTTGATTCCTCCACTAGTTAATCAGTTCTCTCTTTTACTTTTTGCCTAACTTGGCAGAGGACTGAGAAATGCTCTGATCGGTACTAATGTAGCTGATCTTACTGATATCACTGGTGGTAATAGCTAAGGGCAGAACTCAGTTGTATGTTCTGCTTTTATAAACACAGGACCTAGTTTAATCACCTAAAGACCAAATAGCCACAGCCGGCTTTTTTGATCCATTTTATCTCCACAGCTCCAGCCATGCAAGTTTCTTGAGGAGCAGGCATTGCTCATGCAATTGACTTTGTGTAGAGCCAAAAATCATTGCAGCAGTGAATTCTAACTGGGTTCACAGTGTGTGTTGCTGGGGCACTGGCTATTTGTGCCAGGCCAGTCAACTGCTGCATGCTGCCATCATGGATGGTGGCTTCAACTGCTCCCTGAGGGACTTAAGGCATATGGTATGAAGTCTAAGGTCTTCCACAAGATGTTTTTGTGTCTGAGATCCTGGCAAAGACTGGAGAAGGGTATTAAAAGCATAAATACAGACTGGACTCCATGGTTGGAGTAGCTGAGGACAGCACGTTCTCCAGCACGGTGCGCCTGTCCATGGAAAACTTATGCACCATGCTTGGTCACAGATCTGCTCCTCTCCACACTCGCTCTCTCTCCTTTTACTTTTGCTTGGTCGTTTTGTATTTTCCTTTATTATTTTTTGTTTATTTCTTTCTTTTTCTCTCCTGCTTTTGTCTCCTTCAAGTCTCCCAGCTCTGAGCTGCTCCATACACCAACTCCTCCGCCTTTGCCTTTCGCGCGCCGCACCTTGTCTCCAGAGGTGCAGGCAGTTACATCTGAGTGGATTGCTCTGACCGTGGGAGTGTCTCCTAGTACCACTCCTGCCATAACTCCTCCATTGCCTCCTCCGCCTGAAGCCTCCCTCTCTCACACTGACTATCTCTCGCCTTCTGCTGCAGCCAGCCCTTCCCCCACGGTCAGCCTCCACCATTCTCATCTCTCTGGCTCCTCAACTCCCAGGTCCATTAAATCCCCATTGCCCTCTTACTCTTCCAGACCTCAGTCCTCCACTCACAGTTTCTATCAGGCCACTCTACAAAGCGAAGAAAAGTTTGTTGGCTCCCCTTCTCCCAGCGTGAGCTACTCTAACTCCCCTCGCTGGGCAGTGGAGAGCCCCGAAAGCGTCCACGCAGAGCAGCATGACACCACTGGCAGCCAAGCCTGGCTCCAAAAGACTAGAGAGGGCAGCAGCAACCCCGAACAGGGTGCTCGTGTTGCTCCCAAGATCTCTGTCGAGCGCTGCCTGAAACCATCCCAACTAGACATGCGTGTGATCCCAGAAAAGAGACCTGTGGGTTCCTCTGAGGACAACCAGTTGTGTCAGGAGCTAATGGCTATTGTGCAGGGAGGTAAAACAGAGAAAAGAGGCATGAGGAAAGGTGATCTGGGAAAGTTTCAAAGCGGGGAAAAGAAGGTACTTCTCCTGCATGTGTGTGTGCTGCTCTGAATCGCTGATTTTAACTTGTGTGTTGAGGTCTGTGCTGCTCTGCTGGCCAGGTAGAGCCAGTGGCTGCCACATGTCATTTTCATGATCCTAAGACCTTCTTCCAGGGGTCACCAGTGGCATTCACTGAATAGAAGATCAAAAAATTTTAGAAGAGGGCTCAGGAGCAGTGTAGTTAAAATTATTTTAGAATACATAACACAGGACTGACTCAATTGGTCACATCTAATGAGATGATTGTCCCAGACAGTGGCTATTATCAAATGTGTCAGATGAAAGTACCACACAGACCTCACGCCCCTACACCTCACTGTGTAGAATACAGTCAATTCCTTGCTATTCAGAGATTTTTCCGGTGTGCAATGGATCATTTTTGGTTATAGGTTTTATTTGTTCCTCCTAAAGCCAAAGGCTGAAAAGCTTTGTAAATGTCAGCCTGGCTCCTAGAGTCACAAAAGCTGTCCCCTGTTGATCCTGGAGCCTGTGGTTTAGTGAACCTTAATCTGGGATGTGCATGACTAAGTCAGGGAAGCTTGATTGTTATCTGTGCATTGAGTGGAATTTATTACCTTTGCATTTCCAAAATTATGTGAAAGGGTCTAACCACAAATGGGAATTAGACCTAGTGATACTTTTTCCCCGGAGTTTTTAGTTATATGTAGCTGTGTGTTACAATGAGAGGCAACAAAGGGGAACCCTTCAGTAGCTTCTGCAATGTATCTTCTGCCCCCAGTCTTGGTATAGGAGATCTGCCTTACTTTGCAGCTCTCAGTTGACTTGGGGTCCATTGTGAGCTACATCCAGCCCAAACACATTACAGCATTCCTACGCTTTCTTGTATAAGAGTGGAAGTTTGGAGAGCTCAAAATCATAGCATGATAAATGCTGCCTTGGATGTACTGCAATAGCTTCCATGACATACCCCATCTAGGCAACGTTAAATTATGAGGAACTGGGGTTTCTAAGATGACATATTTCACACTGGGAAATCTTACGACAAATTGTTTGATTTCTGCTTGAATCATAACCAGAAGTGTACTGAAAGCTGTATAAAGACTGTGCTGTTTACCATCTGGATGTATTTTTAGTAGCATTTTTTACAGGCATAACCTGCATGTTTAAAACAGAATTAGGCGGTCAGCTGAGACATACCAACTAGAAACTGCACTTGCCCTTGCATGGAGTTACGTTTGCTGTGTGTGCATCAAATTTACTGAATAGTAGATGCTCTTATCACTAGCAGTAATTGTGATAAGAGAGTGTGTGCCAAGCTGACCAACTTTTCTTTTCTTCAAAAGACTGCAGACTCAAAAGCATTCTCTTCATCTGCTCCTCTTTCTTCCTCTGCCCTCTCTTCCTCTACTGTCACAACACAGCCACCTCCCAGACTTACACGCAGAGTCAATAAGCCACAGGTAATCATCTTTGCTGATTACTCTTCCATTACTTCGAGTTGTTTCCATGCCATGCCATTGTTTTGTCATATGCTTGTTTAGCCATTCACTGGTTCCACAGGTGAGATATTTCTCCTGTCATTTAATTCAGAATTTGTATTTTTTTAAAAAATAATTTAAAATTGTTTCCAGGCTGTGCAGAAGGGCAGGTATTGGCAAAATCTTCAGCTGGTGCAAATCCACATCGTTCAAGTATGGGTTTCTGCCAGTTTTTACCAGCTGAGGATCTGATTTTTCTGTTCCTCCAAAGGATTAACCCAGAGCTTATTTAGTTCTGACCTTGAGTTCCTATAGCTCAGTTGCATTATAAAGCAGTATCAATGGCCTTGTTAGCAGGAATGATGTAGCATGAGATACTTTAGTTCAGGTTTTGTTTAACTAGATCAGGATTCAGGGTTTCAGTGTTTCAGAGCTGGGGGTAAGGCATACACAACTTGGTATACACAATGTCAGGGACCTGTTCCAGCCTTCTCCAGTAGGATTCAGAGGTTCTCAGCTCTACTACTGAGAGCGACAAACGTCTTTAGAAAGGGATGCGGTAGGGTCTGTGCACCATAACCAACTTGGCCTCAGTACTATGTGGCCGGGATGTCCAGGGACAGGGAACAAGCAGTGCTCCCAGCTGCTGGTGTCTCATCAGTCCTTCCAGGCAGCTTCCACAAGATGGCAATATTTGAAACAGAAAGCTCACAATTAGCAAAAACTGGACTGAGTTTGTAGTGATGGGTATTGGGGAAACAATCTTTGGCTTGATCCGTGAACCAGGCAGGCTGTCCATGCAGGATGAGTGTGGGAAGTAGTTGCCAATGTTACATACTTTCTTGATCAGTTTATGAAAGTGAGATACAGCTTTAACCCTGAAATTTTCTTGTTACCTTTACTCACTTCATTCCCCTCTGATTACACAACTTTTTACTGAACAACCACCTCCTGCTTCCTTTTCAGTTTCAATATCTGAGTCCAGTAGGATACATTTTCTGCTTCATGTTAAAAATCCATAGAAATTTTCTGTGTTGGCCTTTCTCCTGACCTCTGATCTGCTTGGTCCTGCTGGTGCTTGCACTGGATGTATGCAATTCGAAAGAGCAGGAATGAATAGCCTCATTTAGGGAAAGATGTTTCTCCTGAGTGCTGACTAGCATACAGTTCTATTTTGGGTGTTGCACCTGGTTGTAATAGAACCCTATGGCCTTTCTTTGGAGTCGAAGTCAAGCCAAAATTTATGTTTTATATGCCTTGACAATCAGAGCATTGTCGGTGTCAAGTTAAAACTGCGTGTGACGTTATCAGTAGTCTTGACCTTCTTTCCAGCTCTTGCTCTACAGTTGTTTAGGGAGCACGAGCAGTATTTATAATGTGAAAATGACTTCTCATTATCTGCGTGACCCATACAGAGGCTGGTGGCTTCAGCAGAAATGCAGGTAATACCCTGGAGGCCTTTTCAAAAATTTGTTCTCTTTTCATTGATTTTAATCAAATGAGAAAAGCACTTAGTAGACATGGAAATGAGATATTACAGTTGGGTTTTGTTTCCATTACTGTCCATCCCTCGTGTTTGAGGTATTTTACCATTTTGAATTTTAGTTTTCTTTCTCATCATAGAGAACCTCCCCAGCTATGAAATTCTGACCCAGGGTTTTTGCAGGTTTAAGACCTCTTTGGTAAAGGGCTGGTGTAAAGACTCTGTTCTTGTCTGCTCTGTTAAGTAATAGTATAAAGTGCAGAGGCTCTTTTAGCTATTCTGAAGTTATTTCCTTTTGTTTATTTTCACCGTCCAGTCTAAAAAGAAAAAATAATGACCCCACATCATGTGAAAGATATTTCAATTATAATTTACAGATAATTTGTTTCAATAGTCTAGTAAAACGTGATATTAAGCAGTAATCAAATCTGTCAAATTAATTTATTTTCGGGGACCCTCGGGAATTTTCTAGTTTAATTCCTGGTTTACTCGGAGGTCTTGTTAGCACAGTGTGACAGTCAGCAGTGGTGCTAGAGAGTATGTGAGCAGTGCAGCAGTTTGACTGTGGGGCCAGACAGTGGCTGTGGGGTGGGGAAGGCAGGAGTGGCTGGATGAGGGTCCCCGTATTGCTCGGCAGTGTGAGGGATGTCGGAGGGTGGTTGTCTGCTCCTTTCCACCAGTACGAAACCACGCAGGCAGAGTGGTGAGTAATTTCACCTGCTTTGTGCTGGTAGAGAGGAAAGCATATGAGGAGGATGCTCAGAGCCCATGCTCCCTAGCACACACCAGCTACACTTACTTAGCATATTCATGAGGTAGCACCATCTCCAAGGCAAGCTTTAATCCCCTGCAGTGGTTTTCTGCTGCTTCACCGATTCAGCTTGGTGGCGTTTCTGCCCAGCGTGCTTATTGCCCAAGACAGAACTGCACACCCTGCAGCAGGCATTGCTCCCTGGGGGAGATGCCTTTTTCTGCTGTAGACACAGCCTTCAGCTTCTGATCCAGGGGCCGGAGAGTCTTTCCATTGATTTTGACAGCCTTTAGATCAGGCTGCTCCACACCTCAGCCTTTTCAGTTTCCTTTGTGAGAGCTCTTTGGCCAGCTTTCCCCTCGTTTTCACCAGAGTTGGGGCTTGGTGTGTGTGGAGGTTTTCCTCTTTTCTTTCAGCTGGTCTGGGAAGTCCTCCCTGATCATGGTTCTCAATTCACGTGTGAGAGCATCACTGCTCATGTGCGCCCTTCTCTGAGGGGGTACCAATTTGTCTGTCTGTCTGTCTTATCTGTCTGTTAGTCTGTTCTGCTTAGCTTTCTCTTTGCTCAGGTAGTCCATTAACTCCCTCCAGAAGGGGATGGAAGAAGACACATAATCAAAAGCTGCAGTGGATAGACATGCTAATGATGCTTGACTTTGCTAGGAGCAGGGAGAGGACTATTGAGTAGCCCCAGCATCTTTCTTCCTAACAGTTATAACCTGCATCAGGGATTTACTGGGCCCTTAACATAAAACCTTTTTCTGGTATTCTTACAAACCTGTGGTGCTCTTTAGATCCATCCTCAAGCTCCGTGTGAGGTGGAAACAGTGGCCAGGTGTGCTTCAGGACTGACTGCACTGAATATTTGTATAGTCTGTAGATGTGGTGACATAGACACTTAAGCACCTGCTTAAGTTTATTCACTTAGTCTTAACAAAGCGAGTAGTGTGACTGAGGGGGTAGGATTTGAGTTGTCCTCACAGGTGGTGAATACTTGGTCACTTGTAGGACCCTCAGTTTACCTCCAGCAGCCACAGGGCTGGCTCAGCTCAGTGTTTTGGGGGAACCTTAGTGTTTTATACTTTGGAGCTATGCCTCACACTCGCTGATTCCTCGGCCACCTCTGGCACATGCAGCCACCACTGTAGGTAGTACGTGTGCTTTTTGAACCCATGTTCGAAGAGAATTTGGACTTATAACACATTTGCTTTTTTTTCTTTATTGTCTTCTCTCCCTGCAAAAATAATGTAGGGGGTTTTTTTCTTAAAAAAAAAAAAAAAGCTGTCTAGGCCACACTATCAGGGTCACTTGTTTGAAGCAGTAGGGTGGTACATTTACAGCCTAAAATGATAGTATCTGATCTGGTCAGTTTTTCATCCTGTTTGGCTAATACTGCATAGATGCTGACTTCGGGGTGTTTAATCACCTCACTGTAGGGCTCTGCTGTAGCCCCGGGAGTTAGTGCAAAGACACCTGCTGCTTTGGAGCTGCCTGGATCTCTGGAGCAGAGGCCAGAGGGGATCCACTTAGTTGTGTGTCTTGTCGGGAACTGGGGGCTGCTAGGAGGCCGGGGGACTGCTCGGCCTCTGCCCCTGCCCAGCTGCCTCATGGAATCCACATGAGGATCCTGCCAGGAAAGGGGATGTTGCCAAGTTTCTGATGCTGGGTATGCGGCACCTCTGGGTATTACACATACAAGCCTGCACCATGGATCATTCAGAGGTAGTGTCAATTTTTTAGTTTTCAAATAACTAATTTAATTCACAGTTATTAATGCTTTTTGGAGGAAAAGCTGGTCAGGGAGGTCACAAGTAATCAATGAGAAATGGACCATGTGGTCATAGGAGCTCATGGAGGAATTTCAGCAGTCAATTTATTAGTACAGAGCAGAGAAGCACTTTCCTGAATTAAAAAAAATAAAACAACACATTCTTACATCTGCCTCTCACCTCATCCTGGAAATTGGTTTTCTGAGTTACCTGACCCACCTTAATTAGCTCTGATCTCATCTGATTTGATGCACTATATCCAGTTGGTCTGCACAATATTAATTTTAAATTTCTAATTATTCCATTTGCTTCTCAGGGCTGATGATAAACAGACAGGAATAACTTCTAGAAACCCTGTGACAATTTCAGACTCCACAGTAAATTCTTTGAATGCGAATTCCACTACAATTAGCCCATCCAACTTACACTTAATTTTCTCTCTATAGAAATACACCTGGTAACAGAGCAATGTTTCTTAGGGCAGTGATCTCAGATTCTAGCCCCAGACAGTACAGCCAACTACAAAGGAATTGCTGTGAGGTTAGCTTGGCCTACAGTGGGTCACAGTCCTTGAGAAAAGAGATGTTTTGCTTTAATGCAATGATAGGCACAGCTTCAGAAGTCCAAGATGTGGTTCAAAAGAGCTTTGAGAACAGGAATTAGACAGGGATGATCTCATCACCTTGCACTTCTCCAAACTCTTTGAGCATGCTTGGGCTGAAGGTGTCACAAACCTCTTTATCCTCTGCTTCTGCTCTGTCTCAGGATGCGATGAGAAAGCAAGCCTTTTACTGAAAGACATTGTTGAAGTGAATAAAAAGGAGGAGGGAAAGCATAAAAATTGAGGCCTTTGAAATCTGGGTTGAAAATTGTGTTGAACAATCACAGAGGATGGCAATGATCTGTCTTACCCAATCCACTTTATCAAGCAGTCCTGCAGGCAGTATAAATAACCCGACACTAGTTCAGACACCCCATTTGCTCACATCATGTCCCTTGCTTTCAGTAAATGTTTGAATATACTAAACCAGGCACTGGATACCTATGTGACTTTCTCAGTGACCTTCACCTCCCTCATAAAACCTCCAACCCCAAACACCCTGCTTTTCCTTGCTGTGCCCTGGGACACACAAGTCCCTGTGAGGAGTTGTGACCGGAGAGAGGCAGAGCAGAGTCCAGAAGCTTCACAGGTGGTGGTGGTTGGAGCTGGGTTTCCAGTCAGGGCCTCCTCTGACCTGAAGCTCTGCCTTGCGGTGGGAATTAACAGAGCAGCTCAGATCCTTGCTTGGTACAAGCTAGAGTGATTTTGATGGGGCTATGCGGCATTGTGCCTTCTGAGGACCGACCTGAGCTGGTCTTTTTTAAGAAGCAAGCGAGTTACCGTTCTCTCCTGTGTCAGGGTCATTGAGGACTTTTCTAAAAACAGCAGCAGATTCCTCTCAGCATGCTTTTGGCCTTTCAAGTTTGATGCTCTCAAGTATGTTCTTCTGTCCTTGTTTTTTTCCCTCCCCTACAGTAATGCAGTATGACACTATGTACCATTTCTGGTTGTAGCAGAGTCCATAACCCTCCACTCTGATTCCCTGCTCCGAGCTTCTCTTTCGCTGTCGCCTTTCTCTTTGCGGCATTCTGTGTGCCGCAGTGCAGTTGCATTACTGTAGCCTTAATGTCTCGTGTGTAAATGAAAGACCCTGTTGTCCAAGAAGTGTGGTGTTGGGGTGGGGAGGGGAAGAGTTGTTAATTTCCTTTTGTTGTCTGCACTCCATTTTTATTTTTTTAAAAATTCTGACCAATATAACATCTGCTAAAATGTCTTCCTTATCATTTGCTTGGTGATCACACAGCCTTCCCACCATTCATTGAGAGCTGGACCAGATCTCACAGAGTCTGAAAAGAGCTATGTGGTAAGGCCACTGTTTAAATCAGATGTGTAGTCCTAGACTCTCTTCACCTAGACAGTAACACCTCAGTAGAGATAAAATGCCAGCACTATTTTTAGCTGCAAAGTAGGTATGTATTTATCTACTTGGATATATTGTTTTGTTTGCAACATAAAAAGGGAATTTAGCAATTAGAAAAACTCTCATAGCCAATGAGAAGCTGGGCTAATTGTGCTGCCAGTCTCTGGGTATAAGATAAATGAAGCAAAATGCATGAACGGAGTGCCCAGCCTTGCATTCTTGAACTGACTTTATAGCATTTGTAACGGTGCCACTGCATAACTAATTGAAACCTCTTGTGCTGCTGCTTTTAAAAATAGATGTATATGTATTTGTTACAAATCTTCAAACTAAATGCCAAATTCTTCTGTATCTTGCCTGTTTTTCCATGCTTACACCTGGATCCCTTCTGCACTCCACTACCTGGATATTTACCTGGATCTACAACTCTTTTTTTTTTTTTTTTTTTTTTTTTTTTTTTTACTGGACTTATGTGCTGCATCTGGAATGTCCCATCTCTTCTTGTCTATATTTTCCCCTCCCTCCCCCCTGTTGACTGTCCTTTGGTTGTTCTTGGATGTCAATGCTGCCTACCACACAGGAAGCTGTTTGCAATGAGATCATAAACATTGCAGAAAAGTCTGTTCATTACTGCAGTACTATTTCTCAGCCTCTTGACTCTCGCCACAAGGTGACCTCTAATGACCATAAACCATCTCTCATCATTTCTCAGCAACCTCAAGCACAGCAGCAAGGAGCCAGCCCTGACAGAAGTCAAACACCACGAGACATGTAAGTCCTTTTGAATCCCATTTCTTCCAGGGGCCTTGTCTCTGAGTGGTGGTGAAGATGGGGAGGTGTGAAAGCTTCAGCATTTCAGGAGATGAATTAGAATTATGGGAAATCTTTTCTTTAAAGAGCAAAAATAGCCACATACCATCATAATGTGTAGTTTAAAACTGGAACCTTTGTGTCTGTATAGCACCTGAAACAATGATCTTATGATACAGGACTGGGTCTCCTTTGGGCACTTGATTCATGCTGGTTATAGAGACTATCTCAATGTCTTTGTATCTTGAAGATGGAGACAAGTCAACGTCCCCTGGCTACACCTGGCCTGTATGGCATGGGTCAATGTGTTCACCCCTGTTCTTAGCTTCTCACAGTACACTGAGCTGTCCCAACACCAATGCCAGCTGGTGTGTTGTTGACCAGTTCCGCAGATTAATTGATGGCTGAATGATCTGAGTGAGACACCAAGGCTGAGATTTTTCAAAGCTGTCTGGTGGGGTTTAAAGCTAGGGCTGCCATTAAGCTTGGTGGGGCCTTTCACTGATGTTTTTAGGAACAGTAGCCTGCACCATGTGCTGGGGACTGAAGTTCCTTGGCAGTTGGCTCCTGAAAGGAGCTTTTGCTTTCCTCTGCCCCTTTATGCAGAATGGAAAGTCCCTTATCAGCTCTGTTTTCACTCCCCACCAGCCAGGGGATCCAAGACTCACCAAATTTGCCCAGAGATTGTTTCCACTCCATAAGGTTCCTTTCTGATAAATACAGAGTACCTCTGGTGCAAGTGGTATCTCAGGGCAGGATTCAACCTTAGGTTTTGTTTGCACTGTTCCTCCTCAGCCATGATTTATCCAGCAACCTTAGTGCAGTAGAGTAGACAGTATCTTTTTCTAAAGTCCTTCACTGCCATTTGATCATTCATGGACCTGCCTGCATGCTTGGGCAAGGCAACAGATGTCTCCGCCTAGGAATGAGCGTTTCCAGGCTTTGGCTTGCATTCAATAGGGTGTCTGCACTTGTATACTCTTTAGGTGCTACACGTTAGGAAGGCTCTGGTTGTTACAGTCTATGGAGACAACTACATGGCAAAAAGGAAACAGAAGCTTTCCGCATATCCCACACAGTGCAGGCATGACACTTTTTACTGCCATGGCCTTGTGACAACAGCCAATTTAATGCAATTGGCTTCCATCTCTCAGATGGAAAACACAGGTCCAGACTGCACTGAACAAAATATAGTAGGAATTAGAAAGGGGAAGGGAGATGTCTCCTCCTGAAGGGATGTCAGGGAATTACAATGTCTAATGTGCAATATCTTTCTGGTTTTAGAGTTAGTTACCAAGCCCTCTACAGCTACACTCCTCAGAACGATGATGAGCTGGAACTGAGGGACGGTGACATTGTCGATGTCATGGAAAAGTGTGATGATGGCTGGTTTGTGGGTGAGTGTGACACTTGCCTGTCAGCAGAGCTTTTTGAGATGCAGATGGGCAATTTTGCAGAGCATGTGAAAGTTGCTTTCGCTTGCAGGGTCAAAACAGTGAAAAAAATCAACTCAACTTTCTTCACAATTTCTCATCTTTCCCACCTAGAAAATTAAAATTACAGTGCAAAGTGGTAGAGCTTTGTTTTCCTTGCTAGGTCTGTAGTTTTTCCTTTTTTCTCTTCTTAATTTCCCAGTTCCCCTCTTCCTCCTGATCCGTCTTGCTCACACAGATGGCAGAGCAACAGAGGGAACCAAGAAAAACTGGATTTCTGTAGCTTTTCCAAAGCTGAGTGAGCCATGGCAAGTTGCAGAAAGTGGCAAGTGGGGGACCAAGGGAACACATGGATGGGAGTTGCAGTCCCTGAAAATCCAGCCTCATCTGTAGGTGTATGTTTAGCAAAATCTAACCCTTTACCTTCAAAGAATGCAAGTCTGGACAGTGTTCTTCATCTCAACACTGCAAATCTAGGCTTGTTATCTCTTCTTATGAGAGATTACCTCATTTACACTGATAGGAGTTTGGCTCCTAGCCTATAGGCTCAGGAACTTTCACCAGCACCTTAGTAATTATTAAAAGGGAAGACCAAAGATGATTAGTAGGAGAAATAGTTGTGATCTCATCTATACCAAAAGGCTCTTTGACCAGGACTCCTATTTAGTTTTAGAAAGCAATGCCTGCAGGCAGAAGAGTCTGCCATCTCTACCTTTTTAAACCCCTAAGCCTTCCTTACATGCCTCTATCTTACTCTGGCTTCCTTGTGTTTTATTTTGTGACAGGTACATCCAGGAGAACAAGGCAATTCGGAACCTTCCCAGGCAATTACGTGAAGCTTCTGTACCTGTAAAATAACAGCGATCCCATCATGACCGTGATGGGGTTGTTTTCCAGATGGTGTTTTTAAACAGTGAAGAAACAGACAATTTATGAATGTAATAGACAAGAGATGAGACATGTTAGGAGGATGTGGTTATGTGGTACAGTACTGAGTTGAATGTGTAACCCTGCTTCTACTGATTCAGGGTGTGATTTGTTTGCTGAAGAAGAGACAGTTTCTAGTTTACAGTGCTGCCTTTGTGTATTCCTCTCCCCTCCCCAGCAAGAGTTCTGGTGATAATCTTAATTTGTATGGAGTACTTACCTCTGAGAAGGCTTCAGGGAAGCACACGGTATAGGTTTTGTTTGTGTGTTGAGATAGTGTAGTGCTTTGGGGCAGTATGCAGCCTTGCTGCTGCTGCCTTTCACTGGCAAGGTTCGGGGAGGCCAGGCTTTCTTCCCGGTTTCTGCCTCCTTGAAGACTCACTTTGCTCTGCCTTCCACTTCCATAGAAAACCCTTCCTTCATGTCACGCACCTTAAGACCCAGCAGAGGCAGAGGACAGCTGATATGGTTAAACTGCAGACCTCTGTGTAGAAAAGGAGTTTGGGACTGGTGGTTTAATCCAGAGTTCAGTCAAAGCATAATGCTATCGTGCAAAAATCCCAAACCTTTTAATAACGTATTGCCTATCTCTGCAGGGTTTTTCTTCTTTTGTGCAGGGGGTGTGTGTGTGTGAGTGTACTGAGTGCATCAAAACAAACCGAGTCCTATTTTTTAAAGAGAAATCAGCCTGGCTTTGACATTTATCTGCACAAAGGACAGAACCAATAAACAGAACATCTGTGAGAGCAAATGCTGTTTGAGTCCTATGGCCGTTCACTTTCTCTGCTTCATCTGCTCTGTTGCTGGCCGTAAAGGATCACACACCTTTCAAATCATACTCTTTGGGATGAAGACTTTGCTTCTTTCCCAGCATTAAATCTTAGAAGCTCTGATAAATCTGAGCAACATGTTGATGAGGGTGCCTTTTTTTTTTTTTTTTTTGTCTTTTTGGTTACAGTGTCAATGGTAGGTTTCAAATAAATACATGCATTTTGGCTGCCTCTTAGTCATATAAAAAAGTCTAATCAATTTGGAAAGCTGTTTCCAGCAGTTATTACCAGTTATAGATTCCTATTCCCTTGAGGAAAAAAAACAAAAAACAAAAAACAAAAAACCACAAACATGTCTTGGCTGTATGCTTGCCTGTAAATCCACTATGAATACTCTTTTGATAGACATTTTGTTATGAAGAAAAAGCATAAACAAAACCGGTTCTATCAGATTCTGCTTCCTACAGTTACCATACAAATAGCAAAGGGTTAGATTGCTATTTTGTCATAAGCCGTATTTAATAATATAAAATGCCTATTTTTATGCTGATGCTTTTATACAGATTTATTAAGAGTAACTGCAACTAACTGTTAGCACGACTTGCAATGTTTTGATAAACTAGCCATGCTCCTGGGTTTGAAATCAAGTAGGCTTGTCTTCCGTCTAGGTGAGCGGAAGAGAAGACTCAGTGTCTCAGAAGTTTGACTGTAAATATGTATATTTAACTTTGTACAGACAATGTACTTACCTTGTATAGAAAAATAATTTAAACACATTGAGTGAAGGGAGGAAAAAAAAAAGGCAGTTGTGAAAGGTTAGGATTTCTTCCACTTTTATTTAAATGATGGAATTCCATGTATGTTCACATAAAGAGTTTTAGCACAAAATATACATTATGAAAGGGTTTCAGATATGACACAAAACACCACTGTTTCTTTTCTGCAGGAGATACCTTTAATCCTGTATCTTATTTATGAGTTGTTTTATTGCTTTGGGTTTGCCCTCCAGTTATTTGCAGCAATATTTAGGCCTGTTGCTAGCATTGGATAACACCAAATTAATCTATCCAGCAAAGTAACATGATGATACTGACTGTATATAACATACTCATTTAAAGGTTTATTTTTTGTTCTTGCTCTTGCCATTTTAAGTTACACACACACACACACACACACACAAACCGCAACTTATTTTTGTGTTGATTTTCTGTTTCTTATTGCAGTGGATTACTATTTGACAATTAATAAATGGAATTACTGAATTACTGTTGTGTTCTTGTACAAATTATTAAATAAAGTCTATTCTCGCTGTTCCCGTAGCAATGCACTTTTGTACTAATGCCCATCTGTGGCTCTTTGGTTGTCTCCATACTGAGCAGGAAGTGTCCACCGTGAGTTTTCCAAGTGTCCTGCACCTGAGGATCCACCTCATGACTTGGCCTGAGCTCACGCATTCTCCCTCCTGAGCCATAGGCAGGCTGTGACTTTTTCTCAAAGAAACCAAGGTATAAAAGCAGAGAAAAAGCTGGTTTACATCCAGATCTCACTGTAACATGGGGTCAGGGTGCAGTTGGTGTGGCATTCGTGCAGACCTGGGAGTACAGAAGCACACCTCAGTCCACCGTTTTACAAAGGGTCTTTGTGATTCTCAGATGAGAAGACCACACAGGTTAAATAGGACAAAAAACTCCAAATGCCAACCTCTGTGGGAAGGGATGTCAGTTGATGTTGGGTTTACACGTGCCTTTTTAACCCTGACTCAGGTCAAAATCCATAAGACACTGACTTCTGTGGTAGCTGCAGTCTGGCCGGGCAGGTATGGCTGCAGCACTAATTCAAGGGGTTTGTGCAAGGTCTGTGGTGAACACATCACATCCCCCAGCCCTGCAGCAGGAGAGCTAGCTGGGGCTTTTTGAGTGAGCCTCATGTAAAGGAACAGTCCTGGCAGGAGCAGAGCAAGGGACGGGCAGAGCTGAGCTGCTTGGGTGGGCTCAGTAACACACAAGTACCACAAAAGCACGCCCTGCACCTCCACACACCTGGCTCCTGCATGCTGCCTGTGCAGGGCTGTGCCCAAGGCTCATCTTTCACGAGGAGTTTTAACTTCTTGAGACCTCCACCTCGGGCTGAACCAAAATTGGGCAGCAGATTTAAACACTGCGGTGATGCGACCGGATGGTCAGGCAGACAGATACATGTCGTGGCTGCATTCACAATGATTTCAGGAAGTCAAAGTATAAACAAGCCAGTCCTAAACCCAAACTAACATAACAGCAAAAGCCTCCAGCTATTTTACATGTCCTTAGAAAGCACGCAGACATAAGCCCATTTTTCTGTTTTGCAGGTTGCTTTACAGCCTGGCCACCGCTTTGCTGCAATCACTGGCATTGCTAGCTCTTGCTTTACAGTGCCCTGGCCAGGGAGGGGAGAAAGAGACTCATCTTTAGCTACTAATATTTACTGATGTCACTCTCTATCCTAACATATTTGGTAAGGAACAAGCTAGCAATGCATTTGTGACTGCAGAAGCTGAGTGTGCGGAGAGGGGAAGAGGGCTCATCGGTGTGTCACAGCCCTCTGGAATTCCCTCACACCTGGGAGGAAAGGAGATCTCGGTGTCACTTGCTTCACTGCCAGGAGATGGGTAACAATGCAGTGCAAGAACTACTGCTGATAGAGATGAGATTAGTAGTGTGGATGCATGTCGTCCTGAAGGAAATAAGCCATGAAATGACAAGTTAATGCAGGAAAAAGGAGGAAGCCAAGCAAGGGGATTGCAGAGGCAAGGGTGTGCCTTGCGAAGGGATCATTTGTGGCCATGTCTTGCAGGGCCAGCACCTGGGTGACCCACCTCATCCCCACTTGCTGACTGCTCCGTGCTCCCTGGCCATGGCTGAATCCCAGCTTCAGCAGCAGATCGGTGGTGGCTCAACATGCAACCAGAACAACTGTTTTTTCCTGAATCACAGCAAAGGAGGTTAGCTGATAAACTGGTATAGAATAATTCCTTCTTTTGCTCGCGGTACCACCCCTAAGGGGCTAGAGATAAACAAAACTGCCTAAAGCCGTATCAAATTACATCTAAATTAGGGGAAAGGTAATACCCTTCCCAGGCTCCGCCCTAGCTAATCAGATTCCGGCTGGGAATGGCGCTTATCTCCATCGCCTCCATTAGGCTTCAGAGTTAACATCACACCAGGCCGGGCCGCGTTCACCTGGGAGATGCCGCACCGGGGCAGCCCTGCCGGCGGTTTGCTCTGCAGCCGTCCTGCCGGGTGGGGGTAAGGCGGCCCGTGAGACGCTCCCCGTTTCCTAACGCCGAAATTCTCGCCCTCCGGCAGCGGCTCGGCTCCGCGGCCCTCCCTCGGGAGGGTTTCCCCCCGCAGCGCGGCGGGCCGGGCTCCTGCTGGAGGCGGCGGCAGCCCCCCGGCGGTGCCCGGGGAGCTCTGCCCCCCGGGGCGGGACAGCCAGCCCGGCGGCGGGGCCCGGCAGCCCCGGGGAGGGGCCGGCGGCGGCGGGGCGGGCCGGGGGCGGGCCGGGCCGGGCCGGGGCAGGCGGCGGGGCTGGCGGGCGTCCCGGGAGCTGAAGCCGCGCACATGGGGACACACCGCATCGTATTGCCGGGCCCCGGGCCCTGGGGTTTCCGCCTGGTGGGCGGCCGGGACTTCGAGCAGCCCCTCACCATCTCCCGGGTAGGGCGCGGCGGCCCGGGGGGGCGGGCGGTGCTGGGGGCCGGGGCTGGCGGGGCCGGGGGAGGCGAGGGCTGGCAGGTGGCTGGTGGGACAAAGGCAGGGTTGGTGACGCAGCCGTGGTGGTGATGGGGTCCTGGTCTTTTCTTCCCCACCAGTTGTTTGTTTGTCTGTTTTTTTTTAATGTTTATGGAGAAATCCGTGGCGGCCCACGGAGCCCCTTAACCTGACTTTGACTAGGGTCTTTGCTTCTTACCGACTCCCCATCTCAGTCTGTGCGTAGCAAACCCCATACCGCAGTCAGAGGGAATCCCCTCTGCTCCCACCAGCCTGTAATTTGGGTTTTGCAGCCCATCCTATGGGGCACAGTTGCACTGGGGGGGTGCGAATGCTCCCCTGCTTTTGCTTGCCATCTATAGTTAAAAGAAAAGCCTTTGTTTACAGAAACCATACTAACTTACGTTAAGTGCCTCTGCCTGTTTTTGTTGTAAGTCCTTTTACTCCCACTTAAAGAAAAATTAGTTAGGAAATGACACTTAAATCCAGACATTTTTAGCGATGTAACTTAATTTGCCCTCCTGTGCTCCAGAGTTTGCCTGTAAATGTCAGGGTTGGGTTCAGACTATGTCGCTTTCCTGTCCACGTACCCACCTGCACCCAGGTGCTCCCGCCCCGCTGTGCCTGCCCGGCTGCTCCTCGCAGGGACCTGGGCCCTGCCCCGAGCTGCTCGCTGCAGACCCCACAGAAAGCAAGGGCACGCGTGCCCAGCTCTTCCAGCATGGGGGCAATAAACCCCAAACTCCCTGTCCCTTCGTGGCTTGGTGTGGACGGGGCTGGCTGGTGGCCTCCTGCCAGGGGAGAAGGAATTGCTCCAATTTCCAGCAATCCCCCTGCAAAACCAGAGGCATCCAGCGAGCTGCTGGCAGCACTGGGCTCTGGCTTCTGCCAACACCTTTGCTCAAGTTTGAAGTCCCTGTGGGCTCCAGGTGAGGAAGAGCTGCTGGAAGTGGGACATATAAGGACTTGAACTTTTGTGAACTGCCTTTAAAGAAGAACAGGCTGGTGAAGTTTGGGATTTTTTTTTTTTTAATACCTCCTGCCATGGGGTCCCTCTGACTAAAGGACCCCCAGCACCACAGGGGATGCTGCCAGCTCTGGGACTAGCAGAGCTGGTGAGTGCTGTCAAACCCGGGGTGGGGGGTTCGGGAGGAGTTATCAATTTTCTATGTAATCTCTTTCAATTACAGTAATAATGCCTCATTCTTCTAAAGCATTTTTTTGGACATGAAAGCAGCTTTAGCGTAAAGGAAGGGATATTTACTTCATTGTTATGGTAATTGTTGCCATTTCCTTCCAGTGAAGGCTCTGGGCAGAAGCATGTCTGAAGTCCTACCTCGCTGCTCTTACCTCTTCTCCTCGGTTGCCTTTGTCAATGCTTGTGGGCACATACCAAGGGACATAGATCAGCAAAGTGGCAAAAATAACCACCTCATGAAAAATTGTGACCCTGAAGATTAAAATGTAATAAAATAGCCTCTCTGGTGGTGGTGACGTAAATGATGACAATTGGCAGCTCTTATCACGGCTTTCTTGTGTGGCCCCTCTGACATTTTTAATTTCCCTTCCAAGACTTCAAGCCATTAATCTTTCCTGTGATTCGCTCCTAAGGCTTATGGGTTTGTCCCCTTGGCTCAGGAACAGAACTCTCAGAGTTCCCTGTTCACCATGTAAAAAAAAGATCTGGTCTAGTTTTGGCCTTTTTTAGAGTCTGATCCTCGTTGTGCGATGACCTTATAGTCCCATAACTTCATTTGCCTTACTGCATTTGGTACCTGTGCTCTGACCAGACAGCTTTTTGGGCACGGAGCCCTCCTCCCCTCACAGGCTGGGGCATGCTATGGCTGTAGGACTGGCATCTGCCAAGGCTTATGAGGGCCCTGGTCTCACCAAGGTGTGAGGTGGGGGGCAGCTATCTGTGGGGAATGAGAGGGTAGAGAGGCTGTGGCCTGGGGTGAGAGCATCACCCTGCAAGCAGAGGAGGATGCAGCTGTCCCCTCCCTGGCACTGTTACGTGTTTACTTTGTGTTGCAACATGTAGGTTGTGTGTCCATGGCACGGACATGCTCATGGGGAGTGCCATTAGCAGTGGTGCACAGGGCTGGACTGCCCGCCCCAGGCTGGGTGTGCATCCTTGATTGCACCGGGGATCGTCCTACCACTGCCAGCTGCAAGTGTGGCAATTCAGGTGTGCTAGGGGGGAGACAAGTCCCCTCCAGTGGGGTCAGTGGAGCCTGGCTCTGCCTTATCCAGGACTGCCCATCTCATTAATGCACTGATGGGGTCACCCTGCCGCTCCAGGTGTGTGCTGACACAGCAGGATGCCAGGAGAGAGGCACCCATCTAGTCATGGCCCTGACCTGGCTGTCTTGCAGCTCTGAACCAAGGTGTCTAAATTCAGCCTGCATTGCCTGCCAGGGGTTGGAGATTTGACTTCTGGCCACATTGTCCCGATGGGGAGCTCCTGAGCTTGTCTTCATCACCATTGTGCCTCAGCTCTTTAGTAGTGGCTTTTGGCTACTCAAGCTCCCCTCTGATTTAGGGAGGGTTTATCCTGGTCATGCT